GGCAAATGCTGTAAACACACAATATTTTTTAGTCAGATTAAGATTCGTCTTGCGCGGCTATGAGGAATAATCCTGGGACATTTACCACAGAAGAGCTGGTTTATTTTCACTTCGAGGAGGAGCAACAGATTCAGCTGAGAAGTGTAAGTGTTTTGTGCTTTGTTCTAATCGCGATATAGAATAACGTTAGTGTCTGTAAACGGACAAATAGCATATCCTACTGTTTAAATGTGAATTATGTTTCTCTCTCTCTGTGTGTGTGTGTGTGTGTGTGTGTGTGTGTGTGTGTGTGTGTGTGTGTGAATGAATGAATGAATGAATGAACGCACAGATACGCACTGTTACAGACGAAATAAAAGAACATTTCTTTGACCAGTTTTGGATAAAGTTTTTCAAATCAAATAAGAATCAAATAAGCTTCAAAATAAAGACATCAAATAAGCATTATGTTTTGTCAATAAACTAATCAACTAAGATGTTTGTTCCAATGCAAGCTATAACAAAATAATGAATCCTCAACTTTGAAATATGTATGATCAAACTAAGACATTTATGGAAAAAGACTATTTTCTTTTCAAGATGTTTCCAACTCTAACTTTGAACTGAAATAAAACCATGTCTATATGGTGAAGGGTGTGTGATAGAAGTGTCCAGAGTATGCACCCTGTATTTTAAAGAAGAACATTTAATTATTTGCGATACATTATTCATTCACAAAGAATTCAGGGACATTATTCATTTCCCTAAAAGTTAGAGTTTTCCTCATTTTTTAAATTAAGGCATTAAGATTTTTTATTCCTCTTCTTAGTCAACTTTAGCATGGGTGTTTTCACTTATTCTAAGCAGTGTATGTGTGTGTGTGTATATACACTACCGTTCAAAAGTTTGGGGTCAGTGAGAATTTTATTTTTATTTTTTGGAGGAAAGAAATCAATACTTTTATTTATCAAGGAATAATTAATTTGATCGAAAGTGACAGTAAAGACATTTATAATGTTACAAAAGTCTTTTGAACTTCCTATTCATCAAAGAATCCTAAAAAAAAACAAAAAAAAACTGTACAACTGACAGACCAACAACTGTTTCAACATTGATAATAATAATAAATGTTGCTTGAGCATCAAATTCCCATATTATACTGATTTGTGAAGGATCATTTGACACTGAAGACACTGACACTGGTGATGCTGAAAATTCAGCTTTGATCACAGGAATAAATTACACTTTACTATATATTCACACAGAAAACAGCTGATTTACACTGGAATAATATTGAATACTATAACCGATTTTTGTTGTATTTTTAATCAAATAAGCGCAGCCATGGTTAGCAGAAGAGAATTCTTTTAAAAGTATTTAAAATCGTACCGACCCCAAACTTTTGAACGGTAGTGTATATATAATTAAAAAGCAATTTTAACCAGAAACCAGTCCTTTGTTGTGTATCTTTGGATTATGTTGTGTTGTAAATAAATCCAAACAATCTAAAAGCCATTCTTTTTTAAATCTCCTCATTCTTTGTGCAAGGCTCCTCATAAGGGCCTGATAGCACCTAATAGGGCCATTATGGGAGGGTCTTTGTCTTTCTCAGGTGTGAAATGCCATACATATTAATGAGAGATCACGCCTCCTCGCATAAAGCTTTCTCACACTAAACACGTCATACACATTATAAAAGACTTTATTGACTTATCTGAATGAGTAGTCAGGATGATTCTCACATAGTTTTGGAGCAAATATTCTAGGCTATGTGATACAATTTTCAAAAGTCTTGTGAATAAATAATCAATATGTGTTTTGTGGCCTTATTTCAGAAACTTTTATTTTTAAGTTTTTCAATAACCATGCATAAATAATATTCTCTCAAAAATACAAACATGTACATACATGTTGCTCAAATATTATGGTAGCCCCGTTTGTGCTATATAGAGTGAATTTACACCGTTGCCATTAACATGTTTATAAATAACTGAAAAAAGCACAAATGTCAGTGCATGTCAAAACATCCCAAGGGCCTCAAAAAACCCTTGGTCCCCAGAGCCTCAAAAAACCCTTGGTCCCCCCAAATGCAATTTTTGCATTTCAGCCTTATGCAAAAATTCACAATTGCATGGATTCGAATTGAAATCAGTGGAATTTCTGAAAATAATCTGATAAATAACGGGAAACACATTTTTGGCCTAATCCTGATTTCGTAGCATCACAGTGGATAAAACAAAAAACCGGGGAGGTTTCACAATGAGAACCATTCAGCCCATGATGGAAAAGAGGCTTATGAACACGAACAGTAAGAATCTAAATCTCCATATTGCATAAGGTACAGTAGCAAAGTGATCTCCATTTTCTTCCAGGATGAGCAAGATTTCTCACGTGTCATAGCACAGGAATGCTCCTTATCCAAGGACATGATTTTTTTTCGGTCTAGACTCTAGCATGTCTAAACTGTTTTACATGAAAACATCAGTTCATCCGATGGGAACCTGTTGCTCTGCTTGCATTGATTTCAACTAATAATAACTGCGTCTCTTTGAGAGAAACTGCAGGATCAAGATGCCTAGTAAAAAATTCTAAGCAAACAAATGTTAGTATGTGAATCAGTAACAGAGGCACCTTTCATAGCATTTTAACACTAATCTGTACCTTAAACAACTGTGTAAGAACATCTTTCCCAAGCTTCCTCATAGGGACTAATTACATGGGAACAATACTGCCCACGTTGTCTTGGGTCAGAGCTTACATGAGAAATGTGCAGTTGTCTGTCGATAAGCGTGTTAAGGGTCATAGTGTGGGCAGTGGCTCTTTTCCTTCTTTCTCTCCTTCTGTTTTGTGTGAATGAGTAAGCGAGACAGGTGCAGGACTATGACATCAGCTATGGGCACTCTCCTCCCCTGGTTCCCATGGTCACCACGCTCTCACAGCTGCAGTGTAAAACAAATGGCATGTAACAGCATCAAAACGGCCATTAGGAAAATCAATACGCCCCCATTTTAGTGAAGCCTCCCCCTGCATTGAAACAAGCACATTTAATTGAATGATAGAAGTGGCTGAAGAGTGAACTATCCATTTGCTATCCATGTCCAACCAGAATTTGATGGGGTGAATCTTGTGAAACCTGTCCAAGAAAATACAAATATACAATTATCTATCTAACTAAATATTTCATTAAGGTAATGTTAAAAAAGTTTATTTTAAAAAATGGTTTAAAAAAATAATTGTATACACGAAACAGTGTGCCATGCACAAACAATAAAGGACAAAGAATGAGTGAAGGTGAGGAACTTAAACACATGGTGATGAACTAAATGAAGAACAGCTGTGATGCATAAATAAATATATGTGGTAACTGATTATGGCGGGAAAATGAGAACAAAGGAACAGGCAAACAGGTGATTAAACAGACTGATAGAAAACCAAATGAAAAATAAGCATAACTGTGACAGAATGAGTGTTCAGGAGGCAGACGAGGGACTGGTGGAAGACAAAGCCCCAGTGGAAGGAACCAGGGTGGTGATGATGGAGGGAGGAGCCAGGGAGATGAAGATAGGGAGGGTGGCCAGGTGTCCATAGCACACCCAGGATGATAGCCCACGGTGGAATCAACGGGGTAGGAGCCATGGTGGAGCTTTGGTTGACGACACCCGGTGGACGACTAACAGGGGGGAGAGATGGAGCGCACTGGATGGCTTGAAAGTTTGTGGCGCAGGCAGGATGACGGCTGACCAAGGTGGAGCTAGAAGGACGAGGGAGCCCGGTGGAGCCATACGGACGACGGTCTCTGGTGGAGCTGAGGGAGGGACCAGAAGACCTGAGGCTTAACCACACAACGGCCAATTTAATCAACAAACCGATGTATATAGGCCTATTTCTAATTTATTGTGGTGCATGCGGGAACTGCATCAATAAAAGCGCATACAATTGCCAAACACTAATGTGAATGATTGATGTAACATTGTAAAACAAATCTTGCTCCATCCTTTATCTTCAATCAAAGTAGTAAGAACGACAGACAATCTGCATTAATAGACACAGTTTTAGGTGATGGTGGCCCACAACTGATTAGCAGAAGTATTTCAGTAAGACAGTAATAACGTTAGCCGGTTAGCCAGAAACTTACACAATATAAAACATAAAACATATTTCGAACACCCGGTAAAAAATATATACATCAATGATTATTCATACTTACAGGTTGTGATTCTGAGGAGCAAGCTGGTCCAAATAAACTGAGTACTGACCCATCTCTCAAAAGCAAGCATTTTGCGAATCTCGCGTTGAGCTCCCGCGAGATTTGAGAAGCAGTCGTCAGTAAAATGACCCGGAAGGACAATGTAACATACAGTAGGCGGGCATTATGCAAATGTTTTTCCAATGACTATAGAACCATAAAGTAAGATTCGAAACACAAACGACTCGTAAAGGCGGTTCAGAGTCGATTCTTTCTTTTGGGAGACAATAACTTTATTCATCGTGCACTTTCGACTTTACAACTGCATGAGAGAGAATATTCGAAAAACCATAATAGGGGCACTTTAATGCAAATAATGCTTTTGTTTTTACACAAACTTTAACTTCTTATTTTTATTTCTTAAAATAAATATTTATTTAACGCACTGTGTCCTGGACTTTTGTTAGAATCACCTGGTAATAAAATACATCTTAAAATGCCAAACATTGCGAAATGTCTTGATGTTCCTGCACATTAAGGCCCTCAAGATCGATGAATCTGCTGATCAAATCTGTGACATGGAAAGACACGAATTCTCCCTCACTGAAATCTTTTTATATTTGTCTTGCTGAGATCTGAGTGGTGGGTGTGTGAAATTCTGCTTACCCTTTTGGAGGAGGAAGTGATGTGTCTGGGCTCTGTAAACTCCTAATGCTGTGATGCACTGACCAGATGACAGATGAGATTTTTTTGTTTTTCTCTCATTTGTCTCCAAAGCCTAAGCACAGCTGATTGAGCTTCAGTGTCAGAGAATTGAAGACTCCAAAGACTCTGGTTGGCTTGAACACATATTGTGGCATTTAATTTATTTTCCTCACAATTTTTTCATGCTTCAAGCAAATGTACTCAACAGCAGTAAAGGTACACTGCTTAAAATACATAATAATCACCGCAATAATGATACAATCATAGTCTCTTAAGCATTTGCCTATTTAAATCCAAACAGCGACTTTTTTCTTTGGCCAGGCAGTTTATATTGCTTCAACTGACCAAATCTAAAACAAATCCATTCCATCTGGATATTGAAACCCTTGTCATCAAATGTACTACATCTCACAATGTGCATGCTAAATCACAAAGTGATTTTACAGTGTCCTGCAGGTGCATGTCTTAATCTACTCCAAACATGAGTGACTTTTGCTTAAGTCTGTGAAATCACCATTGACAATGTGATCAACAAGATGGTTTTACGTAATGCAGCTTTCATGGGAATATCATCATGATATAGTGGTGGGTAGGTACACTAAAAAGGGAGCTCAAACAGATCCAAAATATGAGGGTTACACACTTGTGCTCTCCTTTAACAGAACTACTTTGAAATCAGTGTTATGACAGCATCCGGGCACAAGGCCAGATGCAATTTACATGCTAATTCTTCTACAAATGTGGACCGATCGGTGTGATAAATCTATATGTGATGCATCACAGAGTTTGAGGTCTTTAAGTTTGCATTAGGAGCTTGTCAGTGCATTAATTCCAAATGCTTTTCTCAAACCACATCATCTTCAGTACTAGAGCAATGAGATCTTCATTATGCATTAAAGCATTGGATACCATTCAAACACTTCTGTTCTGAGTTCAGTACAAACTGCAAGAGTATTTAATAGACTGACTCATAATATATTATATATCAGTGTAACCTTCCAAATACATTATAATCCCATGATTAGACATTTACACTTAACCAGATGGGAGGAAAACCTAAAACTAACATCAAAACAGTCATTATGAAGGTTGACGGCTGAGTATTTGGCTTATATTTACACTATGTCTCTAATATTATTTCTTTGTCCTAATAGCTTGCATCAGTGGGACCCACTTTGACTTCTGAGATGAGGAAGTGGACTGTTTCAGAGCTCTAGGGTTATGTGGGCCGTCATATTCATCAGCCTCAGAAGTGATTTCCATCTTCTGAATGATCAGTTTGAGCAGATCATGCTGTTTCTCCAGCATACAGGACACCACTTTCAACCTGAAGGAAAGAACAGGTCAAATGTAGTTCATACCACTCCATAATGTACATCTGATAAACTCAATTTAAGGGATAGTTCAGTCAAAAATGAAAATCTGTCATCATTTACTCACTCTTATGTCATTCCAAATCCACAAGACCTTCGTTTTTATGCAATCTGAGAGATTTCTGTGCCTCCAATGAAAGTCTATTAACCCAAAGCTCTGACACTTCTCATAAAGAAATTGTAGCAGTTTAATCCAAGTCTTCTGAAGAGACGTGATCGCTTTTATATGATAAATAGATTTAATTTAGGCTGAAGATGAAAATGAATTCAGACGATGAACAAAAGCTTATGGGTTTAGAACGACATGAGGGTGAGTAATTAATGGTAGAATTTTCTTTTCTTTTTTTGGAGAACTATGCCTTTAAGGAAACGAAAATAAAAAAGCAAATGTTAAAGTATGTCTCCCCCTCTCCCTCTCCCTCTCCCTCTCCCTGTCATTTCCGTCAATATCAACGTGACCTGCACGCCTGCAGTAGTAGTAGTTTTTTGTGCAGAGTGACGAAGTATCAGGGAGAGGGAGAGGGGGAGAGGACTTTTCACGAGTGAAGATATTACAGCGCCGAGTCGAAGTGCTCCCAATAAGTGCTATTCCGCCATACATTATAGTTATCCATTTTACCCGCTTATAACAAGCGCCACATTTTATTTAGTGTCACCATACTTGGTCGTGTAACTACTCGTGTAACTATATTTAAATAGAGAAAACGTGGATGTGTTTGGTAGCTTCTAACTTCATCTCTGTTTGGCCCATATACAATGAATAGGGCTAAGCTAACTGCTCTCAAAGTTCTCCGCCCGACAGAGCGATTCAGTGCACGCACTGAGACGAGAGAGGTATGTATCAACTCGTCTTAGATAAGAGAATAACATAGTTTAATATGAAAAAACGGTGGAGTATCCCTTTAAATGACGCCACCACATCCGCACAGATGCATCTAAATGCTTGTATTTGTTATGAAACTAAATATTAATATTAATATATTATTATATATAATAAATCACATTATCTGAAACTGACTTAAAAGTGAGGTAGGGGAGCTATGCGAATCAGAGTCATCCACCATTCACATCTGGATTGAGAAATACCTTTAAATTAAAATGCAATTGAATTTGTGATGTGATTGATGTAGCAAACCGAACTCCAAATTGCAATTTGAATGTCTGGTTGGTGGTGCATTATAGCTGATGAACACTAGGGGCTGCTCTCCTACAAGTCTGAAAGGTTTGTGATATTTATTTTCTAGCACATTGCAAAAAAAAAGAAAGAAAAAAAAAGAAAGTAAAATCACAAATTAAATGCATATAGCCCAAATATTGAGTTAATTAAATAATAATAATAATTTAAATTACATAATACCCTAAAAATACAGGGAAAGGGTAGTACATTTTTTAAAGGTACACTTAATGTACTTACAGTACAAAATACAAATATCCATCATTTAAAAGTACTGTAGTTAAGGTGATCCTAAAGGCACAGTTTTTTTCCTGATAGATGGTTATATAGGCACAACATTGCATATCAAGTCTGATAAACCCTCCCAATAAATAGAGAAATGGAGATTCTCCCTATAAAGCTCACGCAAGCACAACAGTTGGTTCACTTTTAAAATCAGTCCCTTTATGTTGCCCTGGTTGGTGTTCCCAAAACAGAAGTGGTGGCACAAAGAGATCACCTGTTCTTCTGTTTGTGCAGCTCTCTCTCTAGATGCCCTCCCTGTCGTGAGCAGAGGTTCAGACGGGTGCGAACTGTGTTTTGGATCTCACCATCAATGAAGACCTGTATCAGCAATTTCTGTGTAACAAGTCATTGTCATTGTAAACTGTTAATATTCCCTCAAATGTCATATAATCATTGAAAAATGTTCGTTTACAGAATTTGATCAAAAGTTCACGTGTGACCAGAATAAGAACCTAATTTGTTGATAGTCAAACCTTGCATTTATTGGGATAGACGGTGATAGATGATTTGTCCACTCGCTTCAGGAACCAGTAAGGTAGTTTCTCCTCGAGGACAGTGTGAAGATCTATCTGTAATGATTAATGTGTTCTAGATATTATTCTATTTATACTTCTATTGAAAAGTGTTCTCTTTCCCGTGTTGACGTATTTAAACAGGAAGTTTGAGGTTGGGATAAATAGTTGATACTTTGCGTCACAGCTCTGAATCCTGATTTTACTAAAATGGTTTCTCATTCTAGTGAAGATTTGATTGAACAAAAATGTGGACACGCCCCTGAGTACAAGATGAGTCATTAATATTTTTTATTACAATATTTGAATACTAATGATATAATAATGCTTTTAATAATACTAAGAATATTAACTGTTTTTATTTTAATATATTTATAAATGCAATTTATTCTATTCCTGTGACGGCAAAGCTGAATTTCCAGCATCATTACTCCCATCTTCAGTGTCACATGATCCTTCGGAAATCATTCTAATATGTTGATTTGCTGTTTAAGAAACATTTCTTATTATTATCAATGTTGAAAACAATTGTGCATCTTAACATTTTCCTGGAGACCATGATACATCTCAGGCAGCAACATAGTGTCGGCCCAGATCCGGCCCACGTCTCGTACGTGTGGGGAATCCACTATGTTGCGGTCTGCGATTTCTTTTAGGATTCTTTGATGAGAAAAGAATAGCATTTCTTTGAACATTTATAATGCTACAAAAAAATTATATTTCAGTGTCACTTGAATTCAATGCATCCTTGCTGAATAAAAGTATTAATTTCTTCTTCTTTTTTTTTTTTAAAGTTCCTGACCCCAAACATTTAAACAGTATGATCACTCTGTCAACTTTGACAAGTACACTTCAAATCTAACAGACATAAAAGTTAGCTTTGAAGTGTACTTGTCAAAGTTGACAGAGTGATGCAAATCTCCAATTGTGAGTTAGTGATGTCTTTAAATCTTACTAAGCTTTTGCAAAATTTAGCAAAATATTGTTGAAAACATACATCAATATAGAGGTATAAGCGGTATTGAATCCAGTCTTCTCACCTGCATGGCTATCCGTTTCAACTCTGCGTTTCTCTGTACCTCTGCAATGTCTCCTACTGCCAAACCAATCTGCAAACATGATTTAGACAAATAAGCCTAATACATCCTGACAAATTGCAGCTGCCATTAACAACAAAAGCTGAATTCCAGCATGCCAGTGTTGAGTGTCCTACCATTAGGTTCATGAGAAGAATAGGCATGAGAAGCACAAAAAGCACAAACACAGAATAGGTGACCCCAGGGAATGCCATGTGGCCTTCTTCATAAGTGTTCAGGAATGTGCTCTGGTAGTTCAGCTCTCCCACTGTCATCACAAATGTCTGGGCAAGTGCAAGGCCGATGGAGTTGAACTCAGCCTGTTGAAAGCAGCAAACAGTAAACATCATTATCAAACTGCACCAGTTTGCCAAGACTTGATGGGTCTGTCATGCTGGGTTGATATGATCTCTCTTTTTGGACGTACCCGGTGGAGCATCAAAGCGTAGAAGGCCAATCCGAATGCCAGCAAAAGAAAGATAAAAAGAACCATGATGCATACCAGGGTCCTAACGATTCCACCAAACATCACCACGTAGATTCCAATACGCTCAAACCTGCAATGTGAAAATGGCATAAGAGTTTCAATGTTCTACATACATTCTAGACTATTTTGTAGAAAAATAAATAAATAAACTACTCAAATCAATCATAGTATATGCTAAAAGTAAATTTAGTCATCATAACATTGTAACGTTTGGAGCGAAAATGGATATTCCTTTTTAGAATTGCTGAAGATTACATTTAACATTGTTATTCAATTATTAACATTTCTAAAGATGAACTTTAAGTGAGTGTCACACGATGGCAAAGATACACTACCATTCAATAGTTTGGGGGTCATTACGATTTTTTCTTTAAGAAATTAAAACTTCTATTCAGTAAGGATGCATTAAATTTATCAAAAGTGACAGTAAAGACATTTATGATTTTACAAAAGATTTCTATTGCAAATAAATGCTGTTCTTTTGATCTTTCCATTCTTCAAAGTATGAAAAAAGTGTATCACCGTTTCCACAAAAATAACTGTTTTCAACATTAATATTATTAAGAAATGTTTCTTAAGCAGCAAATCAGCATTTCAGAATGATCTCTAAGGATCGTGTGACGCTGAAGACTGGAGTAATAATGCTTTAAATTCAGCTTTGCCATCATAGAAATAAATTGCATTTTAAAATGTATTTAAATAGACAATGGTTATTTAAAACTGCAGTAATATTTAATTTTTATTGCATTTTTAATAAAATAACTGCAGCGTTGGTGAGCATAAGAGAATTCTTTCAAAAACATTTGTTCAACTTTTGAACGGTGGTGTATTTTAAATGTAAAAATAGGGGAAATGGTCATGTACTATTAAATATCAAATATTTACCGATTAATTATTAAAAACCTTGAATATTGACAACTAGTTTCAATATACAGTATATTGTGCATTTCTTACAGTAGGCTCTATAAAATGCAATTCATAGTGATTAATCAGCATATGATGTACTTTAATTAATTTGATTAGAAATGAACTGATTGGAATCCCCAGTAAATTTCCTTGAGATAAATTTGTGCAAGCAGAAAATGTGATTGTTCATATTAAAATGTAAGAAACCTACAGGCCATTAAATCTACCTCTGGAAGTAGAGCAGGAAGCCGATCCATGAAGTCAAAATGGCGTAAGCTCCAGCCTGCCATTGCCACGTGTTGTCTACATTGAAGCACATGGGAATGACAAATACTAAAGAGCTAATAGCTGCACTCCAGTCAGCAGGGTTAGAGAAGTCCGTGAAGTAATTTATTCGCTACAATGTGAAAGACATAAGGGGTTAAATAAAAATCACCTTTAGCTTCCAAACATAGTGCAATTTGAATTCTCTCGCCAGTGCCAAAGACCATAGAACGATGCATGCAAAATCTGAGCTGTGTTTTTATAGGTAAATTACTTGGCTGGAAGGCTTAAAGCACTGCAAGGGAATCCCCACAGCAAAGGCATGTGTACTTAATGTGCATCATGACATTTATGATAAGTGACTGTTTGAATGCCCTCCACTGAGAGTCTCTGTAGAATGAGAGGAATTTATAGTGGATGCATCATGGGAAGTGATGACATGATTATTACCTGCTGAGCCAACTGCACCAGCTCTTTGCAAATGGAATACACATTCATGACGAGCACCATGATAATACAGACTGAGATTAAACATTTTTGCTGGATGGAGGGAAAAGAGAGAGAGTATCATTACAGCATTATCGGCAACTTAATCACATTAGCATAATGAGTGTATCACTTTTTTATTCATAACCCAACTAGCATATTATGCTGAATTAAAAATATCTGCTATGGTGTGTGCATGTTCCTCACACTCAAAAATAGATAATATTAATGCCAACATGAGCTCTCTGTGCAATTTCTCAAAAGATAAATAGTAATATGCGTACGAGATTAGACATACTTAATTTCATGGAGATAATAACCTTGGAGCTGATGAATAAGTGGGACGTTGATGGATGCCATTCAGTTGATAATAACACTCAAAATGTGAGAATGGAGATTCATGTGATTGTAAATGATGGCTTAGATAATTAGCTTGTCAATGCATAATAGATTAGGTCAAATTGACAACAAGAACTTCTGACCCCCATTTAATGACAAATAAGGTAAACGATGACAATATTGCTGTACTTTAAGTAACGCCAAAATCCTTTCAAAGGACTAGTTCACCCAAAAAATTAAAGGCAGCATTAGATGCTACTTACACTAAGTGAAAATAGCAGTATTTTCTTTTCACTAAGCATAAATAGTAGTTACTGTATATGCAATTTATACTATTTCGAACTTGGGACAGTAGCATTAAAAGTTAACGACATCTGCCTAACACGCCACTAGCTCAATCAGACAATGGTGGGCAGAGTTAGTATAAATAGAATCTGCCAACAAAGTGGGTTATTTGCCCTTCATAATTCAAATGTTGTCATCGTTTACACACCACATTGTTTACGTTGTTCCAAACCTTATGTCATATGACTTACTTTCCTCTGTGGAACATACGGTAAGAACATTTTACAAAACACTTTTTGTGTGTGTGTGTGTGTGTGTGAGTTCCAATTCAGGTTCGAAAGTTGGAACAACACAAGGGTGAATAAATGACGGAATTCTCTTGCATATGACCCCGAGCAGCCATTTTTTATATAAGGAACATATATACAGCTCATTTAAAAAAAATACTAAAGTCTTCAAAACTGTTTGTCAAGAAAATAACAAGCTTGCATTTGGATAATATATAATATATCAAATCATCCATGCAATCTGAAAACAACATCATAAATTTAGCTCAACTGGTGCTAAAAATGTCACAAACGGTCACTGTATTGAGCTCTACAAATTGTCCCATTTTTTATCTCTGAAGTCGTCTGACTCCTTCCCCTTGTTTTATGTGACAATTTTTACCATCATCAAAATCTACGATGTGCCTAAATTCATTTTAAAGTTGGCATGATGTTACAATTCAGCCTCTTTTTTTCTACATGCATATTGATTTTATTGTGAATGATTTATTCATGGATGTTTCATTTTTTTTTTAGCTCATAATTTTTAATGAAAATGTCATAACTCGATCTTCCTGCAAAACAACAGACTAATTTAGTCCAATCATTCAGTGTCCCAAAACCCCATCCCTATATTACAAATGACTGCAAGTTTGCCTCCATCCAATCAACAACCGATGTACAGAACCAAGTACCTGCCCTACACTTTTTTTACTGTTTAACTCAACTCCTACTTGTATTTTATTCGAAATTGTATTTTTCTTTATTTTATTATCATTATTTTCTAGTAGCAAACATTAAAGAAATAATGTTTCGCCAGTGTTTTTTTTTTTTCAGCCACCATTTTGATCATTTTCACAAAACTTTCATGGCCCTTAGAATAATTTGTTGTATGAACATCTGAATATGTAATATGTTAGAAAGAACAGAGCCTCTGCTTTTAAACAAACAAAAAACATTTTATTCAAGCTTCATGCATTATTTTTTTTATAAAAACTTGAATGTGGGCAAGTTTCATAAAGAAAGCAACATTTTGATCAAAAAGCTAAGAAAATCGTATTTTTGTCAAAGACTACAACGTGCATTAGCAATGCTTTTGTCAATTGTTTCTGCTTCTGTTTCGCCTGTGTTTTGATCCGGAGATTCTTTACTCTTTCAAAAGATGCGCCCTCTACCATATAACAGTGCAAAACATGGAAAGCTGGACAATTCCATCAATGGCTGGGAAGCGTTATCTCATAAATTATGTGAAAAAAGATAAAAGAAAAGGAAAGAAAAAGAAAGAAAGTAAAAAAAGAAAAAATAGATGGAAAATTCTGTCAATGGTGGGGAAAGAGTTAAAATCATCCGCAAATGAAAACCTAAGCTACAAGTTTAAATAATAAAAAAAAGACCTTAAATTCCCATAAATTAAATTACAGCATTTGTACAATCTTTTTTCTTACAATAAAGTAAAAGGCTTGCACTAAATGTCTGCCTTAATTGACAATGTAATAAGTTACGGGAATGTTCTATCCATAGAAAGAGCCCCCTTAATTGTATCATAACACACAGACCATCCCATTTGTTTTCACGCTGTTGATGTGTAGCACCACTCTGTACATGCTACCATTAGGAGATATCATTAGGGAACATGGAATTAGTTTTCACTGTAATGCCGATGATACTCAGCTGTATATTTCTTCAAAACCTAATGAAACTTACCAATTCACAAAATTAACGGAATGCATAGCTGATATAAAAAATTGGATGACTAGTAATTTCCTACTACTAAATTCTGAAAAAACAGAGAATCTAATTATTGGACAAAAAACTTCCACACGTAATAACCTAGAATACTGTCTAACACTTGATGGCTGCTCTGTTAAGTCTTCGTCGTCGTTTAGGTGTGCTCTTTGATACCAATCTTTCATTTGAAAGTCACGTGTCTAGTATTTGTAAAACTGCATTTTTCCATCTTAAAAACATATCTAAATTACGCCATATGCTCTCATTAACAAATGCAGAACAATTAGTTCATGCGTTCATGACATCAAGACTAGATTATTGTAATGCTCTACTGGGTGGTTGCCCTGCACGCTTAATAAACAAACTACAGCTAGTTCAAAACGCAGCAGCTAGAGTTCTTACCAGAACCAGGAAATATGACCATATTAGCCCGGTTCTGTCAACACTGCATTGGCTCCCTATTAAACATTGTATAAATTTTAAAATATTGTTGATTACTTACAAAGCACTAAATGGTTTAGCTCCCCAGTACTTGAGCGAGCTCTTAACGCATTATAGTCCTTCACGTCTATTGCGATCTCAAAATTCCGGCCAGTTGATAATACCTAGAATATCAAAATCGACTGCTGGCGGTAGATCCTTTTCCTATTTAGCACCAAAACTTTGGAACAGTCTTCCAGTGTGTCGGGAAGCAGACACACTCTGTCAGTTCAAAGCTAGACTAAAAACACATCTCTTTGACCTAGCATACACATAACACATTATAGACTTCTATAATTCAATGTTAGGCTGCATAGATTAGGTCAGCCAGAACTGGGAACACTTCCCTTAAATCCAGATGTACTCGTTACATCATAAGAAGAATGGCATCTACGCTAACTTTAGTGTCTTTGTTTATCCCGAGATTTTCCCGCAGCCTGCTGGATCCAGGCCGGATCCAGATCTGACGAAGGAGATTCGCCTGGACCCGATGACAATGCAGTGCTGAAGTGTCAACTAGCCTCTCCCTATGGAGGATCCCTTTCCCACTCTACAGATAAAGCGTTGTTGAAAATCCGGTTCGCGTACCCCGAAGTGATAAAATAAAACAAAATTCTTTATCAAATGTATAGGCAAGACAAGTAGTTTGTTTAGGCATGGTTTGTAGGGAAATTACAAACCTGCGCACATATATTCAAACGAATATAACTATAGAATCAATTTAATGCACATGTGAACGCCATCAGGTCACAGGTTCGCGTTTAAAGTCTGTTTAGAGAGAACGCCGTTGTCTTAGTGGCCCCTAATGTAATAACAAATGATAATTTTGCTGGAAGTGAATCAAAACTAACTTTAGCTGGAAATAACATTATTCAAAAATCGCTATAAAGCCAAAACAATCTCTGTTACCGTAAATTGTATGTTTATCTCTGTAAAGCTGCTTTGAAACAATCTCCATTGTTAAAAGCTATATAAATGAAGATGACTGACCACATTTAGAAGACAGCTGTTAAAATACACATTATATTACCAATTCTGGAAAAGTTAACAATAGTTTGCATCTCTCTTAGCATTTATGACAGTGTGACTTTGAAAAGTAATTCACAATCAATTTGATTGTCATTTAAATTCAACTACCATTATTCTCTTTGACCTTTCCCTTCTCTGCTTGTCACAGATAAGCACTGCTGTCATTTGTCGCACAAATGACAGAACTCTTTGAGCTCATCTCTTCCCTACAAGATGCTAGAGAGCTCTAAATAGAGGCTGTCTACCTCACTAAAAGATACGGGCACCATGGTGACAGATGTGCCATTGGTAGAAATGTCCTGGCTCGGTCTCAGATTGAGGATGAGGTATGTGAGGGGCAACAAGCCAAGCAGGTAGACTGCCAGGTTGAGCAAATGAACCTTGCTTCCATATGCCTTCCTGTCCGAATAAAACACAATATCAGTCGAAGATTCAAAAGTGTGCTTATGTAAACCAGTGTATTTGTTTGAAGTGATGTTAAGACTCGACTGCTGCTATTTTTAACCATATGCACAAAAGTTAAAAAGCAGTGACTATTTTGTATAGCACATAAAAACAAGTGACTGTAGAAATTAGCATATCAGAAATTGTTTCTCATGGGGACGTTTGTAAAAAACACATTTGCATGGCAGCAACTTCTTGTCACGATCTTGTCTTGTTTAGTTTGATAGTTTCATTGTCATATCCTGTTTTCATGGTTTCCCTGTTCCTGTTTGTTCTTTGTTTGTTTGTTGCCATAGTTTTTAATTAAGTTACACACCTGTTTCTTGTTCAGTTGATTATCCCTGTGTGTATTTAAGCCCCGAGTTATTTCTGTTCATTGTTCAGAGTCGTCAATGTTAAAGTGTAGCCTAGTGTTTCTTAAAAGTCTCTTTATTAATGCATTCTGGGTCACCCATAATCTGTATTGGACTCGCTGCATGCAACCATGACAGAACACTGAACTCAGATTAGATTTCGCAGCAGAAGAAAAGGACATATGAATTTCCCTCTAGTTTGCCTGCTTCTCCTCGAGCATACAGTTGGTAGTCAACCAGAATAATACTTTCAGTTCCCGTAGCGTTAAAATTGGGGATGTGTATTTGCTGCCTTTTACCGCTAGGTGTCGCTACAATCACAGACTTTGAAGTGTCAGTTTATTCTCTCTATTACGTAATCTGCCACGGCTCGTTGAGAGCTGTAGCAGATAAATTCAAGTGAAACATTGTAGTTTAACAAATTCATAAATCACAGTACTGAAATTACAGTACAAATTAAAAAATGAAAATAAATGTATAGGCTTTTATTATTTGCATCGAATTTAAGCAAAGTAAACCTTACTCTGTGAGCCCAGTTTTTCTACAATTAGAAAGCTATGCATGTCAATAGGTTATTTGTCTTAAACTTGGTGTTCTGTTAATTTGTTGTGGATTTTGTTTTAACTGAAACATAGCACTGAAATAAATTAAACTAAATGATCGTAAAATTAAAACATTATCAGGACTTGCTAACCGATGTTAGTCGGCAGCGTGTGTTTTTGCATTCTGTGTGAAATTAAGAATGAAACAGCCTACAGTTGGTTGTTATGATCAGCATAATTTTCTTTAATAAATAATGAAAACATTGAAGTATAAAATAACATTTCAATAGAAAAATGCTACATTAATCAGGCTTTGCATGGGCATTTCAATTGTGTTAGTATTCAATTCAAATAGTATTACTTTAGATATAAAAACTAATAAAAAAAAATTAAAAGAACACTAAAATTTATATTCAGTTTAAACCCCCATTGCACATTTCAAGGTTTAAATGAAGTGTCGGGGCAGTTTTATTTTATTTAAAACAGGTTTGCATCGAGTTTAGCGTTTATTCCCTGTGTGATGCAAAAGGAATACAGAATCTTATTCTTGCGACATTTTAAATTTGTATTGCCAAAGAAACAAATCAGTTGAAACAATTGGATTGAACATGTCAATTGATTCACGTGAAAAACCTTTAAATAGCACATTACAATATTTATTTATTGAGAATGAGATTCATCCTGAAAGGGACTTTGTCTTTGCCTGGGCTGTGTTTCCCAAAAGCATTGTAAACCTAAGTTAATCGTAGAGACCATTGGTGGCAGTTGTTCTACGATGCTTTTGGGAAACCCAGCCCTGCTCTTTAAAGGTGCTCTAAGCGATGTCACACGTTTTTTAGGCAAAAACATTTGTCACATACAGCAAACATCTCCTCACTATCCGCTAGCTGCCTGTCCCCTGAACACACTGTAAAAAAACGCGGTCTCTGTAGACAGCCCAGGCTCCACAAACGGCAACAAAAACAAACTGGGGCAACCCGCTCCACGAAACAAAACAAACAGTGTTCCAGCCAATAACCGACAAGAAGGGTTTGGGGGGTTAGTGCACGTACACATGAAGGGGGGTGTGAAGGAGAGAGAAGCATGAAGAGGGAAGTTAGAATTATAACTTATGAACAGATTGCAAAAATGCAAAGAAGAGGGAAAAGGAGAAGGAACGCGCGAAGTCCCGATTTTACATTGGAAAAGCCTTTGAAAGGTGGCGAGAACTCCGCCGGCAGAAGGGCTTCCAATCCGACATTCAGGTAACTCTGGTTTTGCTGGACAGGTGGGTAAATCCAGTTTGGTTTTTCTAAATGGACTTTCATGTTCGCCTAACAAACACAGGGATATAATTAGCTAGAAATATGAAGTCAGCGCTAACTTTCGTGAATCCAACATATAGGTTTCTAGCAGCTAGCTATCAATCTCTATTGTAAATGATCAAGCAAACTCAGAGTAGGGCGACAGTTTGTGTGAATGTTTTTTTTTACCAACTGTTTGTTATGAATTTGAATGTTCATTCATAGCCTATTGACAACTTTGACTAAATTTGTTTACGACGGGGAACCGTTGTTTATTCTCACTGGGAAACGTGAAGCTAACGTCATCTTGCTATTGCGTCCTTGTATGGGAGCTAAAGTTATAACCTCAGGTGGCGAAACGTTTTATCGTGTTTTTCTGGTAATGTTTCTTTTTTTTCTGCATTATATGAAAGCAATTATCTAACTTGGCGACATTACACCTTGAATGAAGTATCAGTAAAACTACAGGGGGAGGGGACGGGATGAGGAGGAGGGAGGAGCTATAGCCTCCGTTTTGTTTGACAATACTTCGAACATCAACAAGAAGTGACGTCACCCAACATCGCTTAGAGCACCTTTCGTCAGGCTGCTATCCGACACTCTCCAGCGATTCACACCTCATTGTCCGAACTGCCCCTCCCAACCCCCACAGGCTATCTGAGAGGAGAGGAGCATCTGAGACTGACTTAAAACGAAGACAAGTTGCAATTCACACTTAAACCACTATTCTCATTACACATATAAAAGTGTTGATAATGAAGGAATTAAATCATTCAGGCTATATGTCGTAGTATTTCTGTCATAAAAGTTTATCAACTAAATATTTAATTATTTCAATGATTGAAGAATTAAAACAGCATCAGTTGCTTTTGCTTGATCAGATGATGAGATGATTTAGATACTTCGTTTTACAAGGCCAGCTTTTTCCAAGCAAAACGAAATGGTACAAACTTCAAACTCATGTTCTTTTGTAGCACAACATTTTCAACTCACTAATTCCACACGGACCCCTTACAACCATTTAAAAAAAAAATATTTATGTATAGGGAACCCCATAAAGATTTTTTCCTTTTTTTAACGTTAATATTACGATTGGAATTTTACAGATGTAAATTCAGTCATAGCCTACTGTTGGATAATAGCCTATTTGTTCCTTAGTGTAAAATGGAAATACATGGAAATTTTATTTTATAAATGTAAGCAAAAAAACAATATGGTGTAACAAAGTTTTATAAATGCAGGAGACAAATCTCTCTGCGTTAATCAAAAAAAAGAAAAAAAGAAAAGTATAACAGTAGACAATGATTGTTCGGGATTTTAACCCATATCAAGGAAACTGTTGTCCAACAGTGAGCGCTCTACCACTCGACTGGCCTACGAAGTGACTTTGCTGGAAAAGGAAACTTCTGGATGTTTTTCAGTGTCCGTGCACACGAGAGGAGAATCGCTCTTCACTCGTCTTATTCCGCAATAGTAAAAATAATCAGCTTCATTGCACCTAATTTTTTTCACTGACTGCGAGATATGATGGTTTTGTGGTGTATTTTTTGCTTGGTATAGGCTAGTGCAAGGGGGCCGTCATTAAATCCTGATCAGTGATCGCGCTGCCATTTACAATATTAAATAGGCTATTGTTGTCATCTCTATTTTAAACTTTTGATTCTATTTTTCGGTTCTAAAAGTTTGTTCTATTCGGTTTAAAATAACTTTTACATGTAATCATTGCTTTCGTTAACTTTAACCAATTCTGTAGCTAATATTTAAAAAAGTTTTATTCTTTTTTTCTGTTCTAAAAGTTTTGTTTTGTTTGTTTATTTTTTACATAGTCTCATTCTTGACGAAATAATAAAACATTTTTTAAGACCTTGTGCTGTGTGTTTTAAAAATAATAATAAACAGATAGCTTACAAACAGAAATATATCAGTTGACAGCTCCACTTACATTTCAAAATGTGGCAATTGCAGCTGTTTTGCAAAATGTCCCTTTGCGCCACCTGGTGGTCATTTCGCGAAGGACTTTGAAATGTTACTGGTTTATTAAACGCGGCGGTAATAGGCATTCTGGTTGACTACCAACTGTAGATATAGCTCCCTCGAGGATCACACGAGGGATTTCTCAGATCTGGCGTGCCTGACCCACTATCCCTATACCACTCACTATGCATTTTCTACAACAGTGGCCTCAACGAGTGACCGAGGACATGGCTGCCCGTGGAAGGTCCTTGAGGGAGCCTTGCACAGTATGTGGAGTGGGTGCTGGTCCAATGTGGATCGCCATGCACTGTCTGCCTCGCTGATTGAGACAATACTAGCCCCATTCCGGACCCAGAGCCCAGCTAGCCTTCAGTCATGCCTGTTATGGATAATAAACCAGAGCCCACCACAGACTCAGAGCCCAAGCCCACCACGAAGCGAAAGCCAGAGTGTTTGCCAGTGGCCAATTTTGTCCAGGAGCCCAAGTACAGAAAGGAGTCTGACCAAGTGCGTGAACCGGCAACAGTGCCCGTCACTAAAAGTATTTTAGTGGAGTACGTCGGCATGGATTGGAGCCCCACACACACTCCCGTTGCTGAGGTGCATGCTACAGTATGAGCTGGGTCCCTGCTGAATAATTATTGTTTGATAAGCTAGATGATGAAATGTTGTTGATCCTGTTTAGTTCCAAGTCGTCTTCCTCATCGCTGGTTCACTCCAGCCCCAAGTCATCTTCTTCACTGCTGGGCCAGCCCAGTTCCAAGTCGTCTTTGTCACCACTGGTTCTGCCCAGCCCCAAGTCTTCTTCATTGCCTCTGGTTTCACCCAGAACCAAGTCTCCTTCATTGTCCACCCCCAAGTATCCTTCATCGTCCAGCACCAAGTCTCCTTCATTGTCCACCACCAAGTATCCTTCATCGTCCAGCACCAAGTCTCCTTCATTGTCCAGGCCCTAGTCTTCTTTGTCGTTCAGCACCAATTCTCCTTTGTTGCAATTGGCTCTGGTGGTTCATCCCAGTCCAAAGTCATTTTCGTCTCCGCTAGACCCAAGTTGTCTTTGTGGCCACGGGTTCTGCCCAGCCCCAAGTCTTCTTCATTGCCACTGGTTCGGCCCAGCGTCAGGTTTCCTTCATCGTCCAGCATCAAGTCTCCTTCATTGTCCAAAATCAAGTCTCTTTCTTTGTGGATGGTCCCGCCCAGCCTACCTCTCCCTCCTCCTCTGCCAAAGCCATCCAATTCCTCGGCCCTGCCTCCGCTGTCTCCATTCAGTCACTCGGATCTCCTAGCTCCACCTCGGGCCTCCAAGCCCTGTAGTCCACCTCATCCCTGCTCTCTCAGCTCCACCATGGTCTGTCATCCCTCAGGCTCCACTGGGCTACCACCTTTTTCAATCTTTGCTCTGGCATTGCTTCGGACTTGTGGATCTCCTGCTGCGCCTCGACCCTCCATCCCTCTGGCCTACCTCCGGTTCCACCATCATCCTGAGTCACACTGAATCCGCTCAGGTCTGCCAAGCCCATGCCTTCACCTAAGTACACCTACGGCTCCACCTTTGCCCTCCAGGCCTTCAATGACACCTTAGGTCTTTGTCTTTTCTGTTCCTCCTGGGTTTTCTCCTATCACAACGTCACTTCAGTCGGTCAGGCCCCTGGCTCCATCTTGGCTCCTCCCTCCATCAGTTATGCCATGGGCATTCATCCTGGCTCTGCTCTGGGTCATTCTCTAGCTTCTCCCGTCTCCACCCTGGTCCTCTCTCCTTCTTGTCCACCTTGGTGTTCCCTTCTGCCAGCCCATTTCTGGTCTCGTCCTTTGGCTCTTTATCATGAGGGGGATAGGGGTGCGGAGGGAGCTGGTAAATGTTGGGTGTTATGTCACATAAATAAATGGTATCTGTGAAGATTTCGAATTGACTTTGCATTATTCTTGTTTTCAGCATTTCACAGAAAACATTGTCCATATTTAAAACGCATGCACTTTATAGGAAAGTGCAACAGTTACTGTATAGTGCTAGGCAGTGGTCAAAAACAATTTACACAACGACTTTTGAATTGATCTCTTTTTGTAAACTTCAGATGGCAATGACATTACCAGATGACCCTGGTGTTATACGTGGTAATTTTACGTGGGTGGTTGTAGAAAAACACTGACATTCTGGATTCAAACAGCAGTAGAATCACTGACTAGCCCCTGTAAATGTTGAAATTATCTTACGTCACCATGAGCAACAATTACCATCCAAATAGGGTGAATATAGAATATAGTGACTTAAAACATTACAACTAGAACTGTAGGGACTTTCTGAGAGAATTACAGTACGTCTTTGACATACCACTTCATTTCCAGGTATTTTCGGCTAACGGGGTGAGTGAGGAGCTCCAGGCGGTTGTACCGCACCATTGCCTAGTGAGGTACAAGAGTTATGATTTATTCTCAAACCATTTTAAGATGCTAAATTAATTAGAAGTTTGTATTTAATAATGTATACAGCACAATGGGGTCCAAAAGTCAGACATCACTAGATAAAATGCTCATATTTTCATTTCATGTTTTCTCCTTCAATAAACAATTTTCCATCGTTAGAAAGGATGAGTGCCTTGAAGGACTGTAACCTATTGTAACATGATTTAAAGAGACTTACATTCATAGCTGCCAATGGTTGGAAATTCATGGTTTTGTCTGCTTTAGCATACTTCTTCAACTGTATAGGAGCTTGAAGCCAGTGAAAATCGTACCTGATCTGCCAATACCATTGAAGAATTGTACTTGTCATTAATGATCTTTTTATAGCATTAATGAACTATTAATAGTTCTAAGGCAACTTTTTGCACATTTGTGGAAAGCTTACATGATAATCTGGACTGTTGGCGTCGTGATCAGACTCAACAATACACCGGTCCAGAAGGTGCTGTTCAGAAGAGAGAGGAGTTTTGTGTCAAATATTGTATCAACAATATCTCAGAGATTTTCATAAGGTGTGAAGTTAATAGACAGACCTTGAAAGACTCCGGGAGGAACTCTATGATGTCCATCACGACACAGCGGGATTTGGCTTTAAATGACGTTAATGCCTCAGCACACCTGCAGTGAATTAATATGTCTTTGTCAACTGTTGGCAAACTGAGAGGAGAAAAATAATATAGGTTTTAAAAAATCTCAACCTATTCTCTAATATTGTTAGAATATTAGAATATTGGTCGAATGTTTTGTGTTGGTATTGTCTTTTCTAATTGCTTGTTCTTTTCCTTAGATTTATTATCCGTGTTAAGATATGCACTTAATTATAGTGTAATTATGTAACTGGCCTTGGTATTGATTTTGTTGTTGTATTGTGAAGTTTGTTGTTTTTGTCTTCCCTTATGTGTTAATATGGACTAGTCCGTTTGTATAAATGTGTCCCTGATGTTTAACTTGTAGATCAGTTTAGTTTGTTCTCACACGTACAGAGTTTAGTTTGTTCTGCTGATCTCTTTTATATGCCTAAACATTTGATTTGATTATTTTGACTTTCTATGGCCCTCATTACTTGACTGCTTGGTCCCTCACAGTCACCAAAGAGGCCAGCCTGGCAGACAGGGGAGTTGAGGAACCGAACGTTGTTGGACTCACGCATATCCGCCAGGTTCAGCTAAAGATGCCGTTCCTGGACCATTAAGGTTGACATCGCACGACCCAGGGAGCGTGCAGTGACTTTCGTCGCCCATGGGGTGAGGTCCGTCGCTGTACACAGTTCCTGCATAACCATTGTGTCGGAACTACCCTCGTAAAATTGAGTGCTTTGGCCTGGTAGACGTGCAGGAGCGCCATGGCACGCAGGGCGGAAGCGGCTTCTCTGCACGCTGTGTAAGCCTTCCCAACAGAGAGGACGAGAACTTATATGCCCGGGAGGGGAGACGTGGATTACCGTGCCAGGAGGTAGCAGTCTTGGGACACAATTGCATCGCCATAGACCGCTCCACTGGGGGGAGCTCCACATACCCCTTAGCTGCTCCGACATCGAGGGTAGTGAGGGAGGAAAGGGTAGCAGACAGGTTTCAGGCAGAAAATGGTGCCGTCCACGATCTGGTGACCCTCGGAAAGAAAGGCACTCGGGCGTGGCGCTGAGAACCAGCAATGGCCGCCCCGAGATACCAATCGTCAAGCCGTGAGGGTTCGGGACATGGTGTTGGGTTTCATTAGAGTCCGACGCTCACAGAGGCCCGGGAAGGCTCTGGGTCAGACTCGGGCAACAGTGCCACACCCGAAGGAGGCAGCACAGCCTAATCTTCATCCCTGGAGGACATTAGCTCATCCTCTGATGCAGCGATCGACATGTTCCACTGCAACACTGTGCTGAGGGAACACGCAATGCGTCAACGACGCTTTGGGAACGCCCCCAGCGTGAATGCGTCTGAGCATCAATGTCAACTAGTCCAATGGAAAGAATGAGCGTCACGGGCGGGTGACGTCATGACCAGGAAGGGATAAAAGCACATCCGGTGCAAACCGGCATTAGCTTTCTGCGCCGAGGCAGCGCGGAGAATGCATTCCTGTGGATCGCGAATAGGATCTCTTTACGGGGTTGGAGACGGGTCCGCGGATCTTATCTCCTCCCTTTCCACGAGGGATCCAGTGCTCTCTCGCCGGTCTCGGAATCCCGCGCTGCGGTCTCTTCCGCCCGGGGAGAGAAATCAATGCTTCAGTGCTCTACCTCCGAGGAGGTAGATGTGCTGGGCATTGAAAGTGACACAATCATGGGGGAAGTGGATTTGCCATCTCTTTCCCCAGCGTATGAGAAATATATATAGCCTATATATACAGGTCCTTCTCAAAAAATTAGCATATTGTGATAAAGTTCATTATTTTCCATAATGTAATGATAAAAATTAAACTTTCATATATTTTAGATTCATTGCACACCAACTGAAATATTTCAGGTCTTTTGTTGTTTTAATACTGATGATTTTGGCATACAGCTCATGAAAACCTCTCAAAAAATTAGCATATTTCATCCGACCAATAAAATAAGTGTTTTTAATATAAAAAAAAGTCAACCTTCAAATAATTATGTTCAGTTATGCACTCAATACTTGGTCGGGAATCCTTTTGCAGAAATGACTGCTTCAATGTGGCGTGGCATGGAGGCAATCAGCCTGTGGCACTGCTGAGGTGTTATGGAGGCCAAGGATGCTTCGATAGCGGCCTTAAAGGAGTAGTTCACTTTTGAAAAAACTTTTGCTGATAATTTACTCACCCCCATGTCATCCAAGATGCCTATGTCTTTCTTTCCTCAGTCGAAAAGAAATTACGGTTTTTGATGAAAACATTCCAGGATTTTTCTTCATATAATGGACTTAAATGGGAACCATACGGTCCAAGGTCCAAAATACAGTTAATAACAGTTTCAGATGCAGCTTAAAATGTCTTTAAACGACACCAGATGATGAATAAGGGTCTTATCATGCGAAAAGATCGCTCATTTAAAAAATAAATAACAACGTTTAAGTTTTATAAGCTCACATGCTCGCCTTTCTCTGTTCTGTGTGACTCTCCTGTTCGAACTCGTTCATCAAAATGAACAAATCTTTTTTCGAGTCATTTGATTCATTTAACGACCGAAATGAACGAATTGACTCGGAAAAAGATTTGTTCATTTTGATGAACGAGTTTGAACAGGAGAGTTACACAGAACAGAGAAAGGCGAGCATGTGAGCTTATAAAACTTAAACGTTGTTATTTATTTTTTAAATGAGCGATCGTTTCGCATGATAAGACCCTTATTCATCGTCTGGTGTCCTTTAAAGACATTTTAAGCTGCATCTGAAACTGTTATTAACTGTATTTTGGACCTTGGACCGTATGGTTCCCATATAAGTCCATTATATGGAGAAAAATCCTGGAATGTTTTCATCAAAAACCATAATTTCTTTTCGACTGAGGAAAGAAAGACATAGGCATCTTGGATGACATGGGGGTGAGTAAATTATCAGCAAAAGTTTTTTTCAAAAGTGAACTACTCCTTTAAGCTCATCCAGAGTGTTGGGTCTTGCGTCTCTCAACTTTCTCTTCACAATATCCCACAGATTCTCTATGGGGTTCAGGTCAGGAAAGTTGGCAGGCCAATTGAGCACAGTAATACCATGGTCAGTAAACCATTTACCAGTGGTTTTGGCACTGTGAGCAGGTGCCAGGTCGTGCTGAAAAATGAAATCAGATGGAAGCATGAAGTGCTCCAAAATCTCCTGCTAGCTAGCTGCATTGACCCTGCCCTTGATAAAACACAGTGGACCAACACCAGCAGCTGACATGGCACCCCAGACCATCACTGACTGTGGGTACTTGACACTGGACTTCAGGCATTTTGGCATTTCCTTCTCCCCAGTCTTCCTCCAGACTCTGGCACCTTGATTTCCGAATGACATGCAAAATTTGCTTTCATCCGGAAAAAGTACTTTGGACCACTGAGCAACAGTCCAGTGCTGCTTCTCTGTAGCCCAGGTCAGGCGCTTCTGCCGCTGTTTCTGGTTCAAAAGTGGCTTGACCTGGGGAATGCGGCACCTGTAGCCCATTTCCTGCACACGCCTGTGCACGGTGGCTCTGGATGTTTCTACTAGTCCAGACTCAGTCCACTGCTTCCGTAGGTCCCCCAAGGTCTGGAATCAGTCCTTCTCCACAATCATCCTCAGGGTCCGGTCACCTCTTCTCGTTGTGCAGCGTTTTTTGCAACACTTTTTCCTTCCCACAGACTTCCCACTGAGGTGCCTTGATACAGCACTCTGGGAACAGCCTATTTGTTCAGAAATTTCTTTCTGTGTCTTACCCTCTTGCTTGAGGGTGTCAATGATGGCCTTCTGGACAGCAGTCAGGTCGGCAGTCTTACCCATGATTGCGGTTTTGAGTAATGAAACAGGCTGGGAGTTTTTAAAAGCCTCAGGAATCTTTTGCAGGTGTTTAGAGTTAATTAGTTGATTCAGATTATTAGGTTAATAGCTCGTTTAGAGAACCTTTTCATGATATGCTAATTTTTTGAGATAGGAATTTTGGGTTTTCATGAGCTGTATGCCAAAATCATCAGTATTAAAACAATAAAAGACCTGAAATATTTCAGTTGGTGTGCAATGAATCTAAAATATATGAAAGTTTAATTTTTATCATTACATTATGGAAAATAATGAACTTTATCACAATATGCTAATTTTTTTAGAAGGACCTGTATATATATATATGATAGTTTATATATTATATATAAAATAAAGTGAATATATATAAAGAATATATATAAAAAAATAATAAGCTGGTGGAGGTGTTTACTAAGGCTGTAGATAAATTAAATATTTAATGGCCAGCAGAAATAAGGGGGCACTCGTCATAAAAATAAAATAAATTGAACGAGTTTCCTTCCCTCTATTTTTCCACCTCCATCACGGGGCCTTTCATTTTTCCCGATCTGCACAGCGAGCTGTCTAGATCATGGAAAAATGAGTACGGTGATCATGGTCTAGATCACCGTTCTCATCTTGTCTTTTAGCCCCCACATTCATGTATATTCAGACATTTGGAGGTTAAGAGAGTATGGCTATGGGGCAATACCCCGGGTAGAACAGACACTTGCGAGCTTTCTGTCTCCCGGTTCAGTATCGTCCCTGAAGGCGTCGACATCTCTCACTAAACCATTTAAAAAAAAACTATTTTTTAATCTAGTGGGAAAAGCATATATGGCAGTGGGTCTAGCATGAGCCTGCTTGCACACTATAGCAGTGCTACAAGCATATCAGGCTGACCTGCTGCGGTATTTGGACAGAAGTGAGGGAGTTTGGCCCGATGGGGTTTGAGAACTCCGTCGGGCCACAGATTTATCTCTCAGGGATGGCAGCCCTTGTGGTCACTGAGAGACACCTCTTGCTCAATTTGATGGGAATCATGGAGAAAGATACAAGATAATCTCTCCCTCGCTATGTCCAACCCCCTGGGGCTGCTGGGCGTGAGCAGCTCCAGCCATCTAGTTTCTCATACACAACACAGCAGCCAAAGCAGAAGCAGAAGCCGGATCCGAGGACCGTTCTTCACGCTGATAAGGCTGCGGCTCAAAAGAAAAGGTCTGGGGCCACCGGCGTCAGACAGGTGAGGGCAGCCCCAACCGACTCGACATTGCGTCGGACTCTCGCCCTCTGAGGGGGGTTCGAAAAAAGTCATTTTTTTTTGGCTGTCTTTATTACACCAGAGGCCAGCCTCGAGGGGCTGGTTCCCTTGGTAGATTTTCTGGCAGCGCGGAAGCTACTGCCAAATATATCTCTATGGGTCCTGCAGTTAGTAGTAAGAGGCAGATTTGGTTCTCGTCCTCCAGGCTACAACGGAGTGTTGCTCACATTAGTGCATTCCGAGCAGGCTCTGGTAATGGAGCAAGAGGTAAAGGCCCTGTTAGCAAAGAAAGCTATAGAGCAGGTGTACTCACCCGACATTACGTCGGGTCTTTACAGTCGTTATCTCATTGTTCCAAAAGAGGATGGAGAGCTGCGTCACATACTATATCTTCGTCTGTTGGAGTGTTTGGTGCTGGAACTCAAGTCCAAGATGCTGACACTCAAACAGATTGTGACTCAAATCAGATCTGAGGACTGGTTTGTCATGTAAAAGACGCATACTTCCATATCTCCATCCTCCCTCAGCACAGGAGGTTCTTGAGGTTTTCTTTGGGGCAAAGAACACCAGTATCAGGCACTGCCTTTCGGTCTAGCTCTATCACCCCGCACATTAACAAAGCGTGTAGACGCAGCTCTGGCCCCGCCAGGCTGCAGTGCATACGCATTCTGAATTGCATAGATGACTGGCTGATTCTAGTGGAATCAGAACAGTTAGCGGTTCGGCACCGAGGTGTCGTTCTCGCTCATATGCAGATGTTGGGGTTGAGGCTCAATGCCAAGAAGAGTGTGCTTTATCCAGTACAGAGAACCACTTTCCTTGGTGTGGTATAGGATTCAGTGACGATGCGGGCCACTCTGTCGCCCGTTCGTGTAGCTGCTATCCTAACAGCCACAAAAGAGCTGAGGCTAGGCCAGTCACGCCTTGGTTATATGGAGGAAACACTGGTTCTTAACCCAGGGTCCGGTGTTGGGAGCTCTTTGCCATCGAGTTGTGATCTCGACAGATGCTTCCCTCACCGGCTGGGGAGCGGTATTGGAAGGCCGCTCAGCTCAGGGCTTGTGGAGGAGTCATCATCTCGCTTGGCACATGAATTGCCTAGAGATGATGGTCGTCTTCAATGCGTTGAGACATCTCCTCCCAGACCTGAGGGGCCATCATGTGTTGTTCTGGAACAGTGACTGTTAGGCCTCAGGGCAGCAGCGTCCAATGTGATACCCTTTGACCTGCTGTACATGAGACCTTTACAGTGGTGGCTCAGGACCAGAGGGTTCTCCCTGAGGGGAAACCCACTCCGTACGATCAAGATCACGCGGCAGTATCCCCACGCCTTGGTTATATGGAGGAAACTCTGGTTCTTGACCCACAGACAACAGTTGGTGGCCTCTTATTTTGGTCCCTCAGGAAATTACGCTGTCTGAGGGCAGTGTATATTCCAGGGGGGCCAGAATATTGGAGCAGACACCCTGTCGAGGCAGGGGCTGAGGCCAGGGGACTCCACCCCGAGGCGGTGGAGCAAATATGGGAGTTTTACGGCCAGGCAGAAGTGGATTTGTTCTCGTCTCAGCATACGACGCACTGTCCACTCTGGTTTTCCCTCACTCAACCAGTCCCCTCGGGGCTGGTTGCTATGGTGCAGACGTGGCCGAGGCTACGTCTGTACACATTTCCCCCTGTTGCTCTGCTCCCAGGAGTTCTGGAGCGATTCCGCCAGGATGGAATAAGCCTATTTAGTAGCACCACCCTGGCCGTGCTGAATTTGGTTTGCGGACCTAACTTTTCTCCTCGACGGACCTCCCTTGGAGGTCCCGATCAGGAGAGACCTTCTGTCTCAAGCAGGGCATGCAATATTGCACCCCCGGCAGGGGATTTGGAAACTGTGGGTTTGGCCTCTGAGGGGGCCCAAATCATAGAGAGTGGTCTCTCAACCGAGGTTGTTGAGACCATTCTAAGCTCCAGAGCTCCCGCTACTAGGAAACTATATTCACTATTTCGAGAGTTTTTCACTTCTTAGTGTTACCAGCGTCAGTGGGATCCGGTTAACTGTTCAGTAAACACAGTATTCGAGTTTCTGCAAGAACGCTTTGTATCAGGTCTATGTCCTTCCACGCTTAAGGTATACGTGGCAACCATTGCGGCTTTCCACGCCCTGGTGGGTAGTACATTTTTGGGTCGCGACCCCCTGATCACTCGTTTCCTTCGTGGCACTTTGAGGCTGAGGCCTGCAACTTGCACTAGGGTGCTGGCTTGGGACCTGGCAATAGTTCTAGAAGGCCTATCTAGGGTTCCCTTCGAGCCCTTAGATTTGGTCTCAGAGAAGTTCCTTTCTTTTAAGACTATTTTCTGCACGCTATTTCGTCCCTATAAGAGTCAGACCTTCAGGCCCTTTCGGTCCCCACCTGCCTTGAGTGCACCGGGGATGGCCAAGGCAATCTTACCAGAAACATGGATATGTTCCAATGGTGCCTACCATTATTCCGAGGCCTATTGTGGTGCAGGTCTCTGTCCTCCCCCATTTTTTGGACCAGGAAAAGCTGAACCTCTTGTGCCCAGTGCGAGCACTGGACACTTATGTTCATCGGACTTCTCTGTCAAGAAAATCCAACCTATTGAGCAAATAGATAGTCGAGACTATTCTTCTTTCTTCTGAGTCTTCTGGCCAACCATTTGGTGGTCAGGGCTCATTCCACTAGGAGTATGGCTTCTAAGCGTATTATCTGGAGTTCTCTCTAAGACGTTTGTGATGCGGCGGATTGACATTCGTGAGTTTTACAGCTTGGACATGGATGCTGCCCCAGGATCCCAGGTGCTTGGTGCAGTGACAACAGGCTGACACTCAGGCATTTGAAAGTCTGCCGTTTTGGGTATTCTCGTTCCCAAAGCGTCGTTGACGCATCGCGAGTTCCCTTGAAAGGGAACGTCTCAGGTTACGACTGTAACCATAGTTCCCTGAGAAAGGGAACGAGACGATGCGTCACCCTGCCATACTTCCTGCATCCCTGTGATCGGCTTGCTTCGGCGATTTCGAAGCTAATGCCGGTTTGCACCGGATGTGCTTTTATCCCTTCCTGGTCATGACGTCACCCGCCCGTGACGCTCATTCTTTCCATTGGACTAGTTGACATTGATGCTCAGATGCATTCACGCTGGGGGCGTTCCCAAAGCGCCGTTGACGCATCGTCTTGTTCCCTTTCTCATGGAACTATGGTTACAGTCGTAACCTGAGACGTTTTCTTTTTGAAGTTAAACACTCTTAGAAAATAGAGCAGGAACAGTAGAATCGCTCTGCTCCGAAGATAAAAGCAAGGATGTGACGCTTCTTCTGCTCATTATATGCTCGTGCTGCGAGGCGGAGCAGCTGATGCCATTATCGCATGCCAATGTGCATTGATTGTAAACTAAACGAGCCAAAGCAGATTGGTCTCTCAAAGCGATCCCCAATTTGTTGTTCAGATCCTACATACATAGAACGTGACTACTGAAAGGGAACAATCAGATAAAATGAACACTGCAACAATGTTACAATATTAATTCATATATTATTATTAATCTGCAATCCAAGTTGCATTTTATATTAAAATCAATACTGTCCTCCAATCCTTTTTTTTTTTTTTTTACTACATGTATTAGCTGTGGGGTGTCAAAGCAATGTAAGGCTATTAACTTAACCATCTTGAAAGTGGATGTCTCCTTACCTCTCACTTTCGATAGTGGCATTCACTACATCTTTTTTCTCATTTCGCACAGCTTCATGCAAAAAAGAGTTGTCAGCATTGTTGAGAGTGATTTCAGCTCCTCTTTCCAATAACAGCAAAACAGCACCTACATGTCCCGCTTGTGCAGCAATGTGAAGGGCTGTGTTCTATTAAAGCATACATGTTTGGTTAAAAAGCAGTGTTGTTCAAACTTATCATAAATGACAATTGCTTTAAATGAGTAAATAAATAAATAAATACAGTATAGTAAAAGTATAAAAAATAAAATACTTTTTGAAAAAAGTGTCTAATGCTCATCAAGTATGCACTTATTTGACAACATACAGTAGAACAGTAATATTATGAAATATTATTACAATTTAAAAGAAATGTTTTCTAATTTAATATATTTTAAAATATAATTTATTCTTGAGATGGCAACGCTGAATTTTCAGCATCATTACTTCAGTCTTCAGTGTCACATGATCCTTCAGAAATCATTCTGATATGCTGATTTGCTGCTCAAGAAACATTTCTTATTAATACCAATGTTGAAAGCAGTTTTGCTGCTTAATTAATATTATTATTATTATATTATTATTATTACAAATTAATATTCTTTGATGAATAAAAAAAATCAACATTGTAAAATTGTAAATGTTTTATTTATGCATCTTTGCTGAATAAAGATATAAAAAAAATTCTGTAAAATGTTATGACAAATGTGAAATTTAATGAGAGTATTATGCTTTGTTCTTTGGATCTTCAAAGCTCAGTTTCCTATGGTTTGGTAAAATTGTATTCTTCAAACTGACTATGCTACACAGGTGTTAGGGATTGTTACGCTGCTTACCCCATCTTCATTTGTTCCGTCCAGTAGTTTGACATTGGCTGCGAGGAGGATTTTCATTGTCTGTGTGTATCCCTCAGCCGCAGCATGATGTAAACAGGACCAGCCTTTGTAATCACTAGAGATTAAAACAGACCTTATGACAGAACTTCCAGCTGAATGAACTCACAACGTAACCAAGCATTTTGTGAAGCTGGCACTTATTTAATTATAACATTTAAAAATGAACTTGTTTTATTCCAGGGGTAATTTTTTATTTATTTAATTGAATGTTGCTGAATCAACCAATTTTAATTTATACCAACAAAATACATGGATTAAAAATCAGCTATTCAATGTAACAATTCCAGGTTACCACTTTTTACAGTGTAGTATCTCAATGATTAAAATAACACTGCCTGGTAGTTATTAGAGTAATGAAGTTCTGCTTGTGATGACTGTGAAAAATGTAGATGTTTTGCTTTTCAAAAAAAAAGTATGGTGTACTTTTGAAACAGCGCTCCCCTCCGGAGCAGCAGCTCCACTACTTGTGTGTGTCCTGCCCTTGAAGCAAGATGAAGGGATGTCAGACCCTTTTCGTCCCAATCATTCAGCATTTTGGAGTCCGTGAGGTTCTCCAGCAGCCTGTGGCATGTGTTTAAACGCCCATATCTGACAGATATTGGAGAAGAAAAAAAAATTAACAGGTTTGGGAGCATGTGAAATGAGAAAGTTTGTATAAATTCCAGCAAAATTATCATAAATGGTCAGGAACGATATGTTATTGCAGGTCAAAACGTATTACTTATAAGAAAATAAGCACAAAGATATGGCTTTGATATAGCTCTGACTGCATTACAAACGTTCTCACTCTGCAGCGAAGTGAAGCGCTGATTTCTTCTCCCGTGACTTTTGACCCAAGAAGATATTGAGACCCAGCATATTTTTGACCGAATCGTGAATGCCAAGTTTGCAGGCGTAGTGCAGAGGAGTGCAGCCTTCAACATCCTCATCAGACAACATCTCCTTCACAGCATTACTCTGGAGGAGGCAATGGGTTCTTATAACTATATACAGAACATGCGCATGTTCAAAACAATGCATTATGTAATAATCCATAACACAGGGTCACTTGAACTCTTCAGGCTTTCTTTCAAAATGAAAGTGTTCTGCATTTGACAAACTGAACTTGACGTTTAGGAAGATTTTCATACCTGTAAGACTGTCTCAGGAAGATTTTTCAGCCCTTTCGGTTGAAGAATGACAAGGTGGAGGAAGTTGCGACCTGCTTTGTCTTTGACTTTGAAATTGACACCTATTTTCAATAGGACAAAATGTTAAATATGCAGAAACGTGCATGCAATTGATATTGGAGATAAAAAGTGTTGAAAATTCATGAAAATGCTTTACCTATTGACAGTAAATATGCAACAGTTTTCCAAGCACTGCAGTTGGAGGCCATCAGCAGTGGAGACAGTCCCTTACAATCAATACAGTCAATATCTGCTCCCTTTCCAAGACAAATGAGATCCAAATAACAGTGAATTGCCGGTGTTATCAAAGAACACACGATAATATAATGAGATATGGTGGTTAATATTAGTCCTATCAAAAGATCAATCCAAGCAACGCAGTTTGCTGGTTCACAAAGTGCACATTCAGCAAAATAAAGGTGTGAGTTTGGATGTTTCAGCCATTTACATTCTCACAAAGCAGCCATTCAAACATTTACCTTTGAAATAAGATATTCAGCCAACTCGACATGATCAAACAACGTGGCTCTATTAGGAAAATAAAGTCATTGTTAATCATTAAAGCATTGGGAATAAATCAAACAAATACATCTGCAAATTGCAATTGGACAAGCACCCTATAATGGCATCATCATTATAAATACATTTGTTTGGTCATAGCAAAAGTGCTTTAAAAGAAAGTAGTATAATTACTTCTAACATTTTTATTGAGACAAACAAGTTGTACAAACAAGAATACATATAACCAAACACATTAGGAGGAAAAATACTCACAAAAACGTGAGTTTAATTGTGAAAAGTAAGCACGTTTAATTGTTTACTTTCAGGTTTTTACTTTAGATATTGTTTACAAATACATTTTAGTGTCAATTTCAAAAATTTAAATCCTTTTACTATAAAGTCCAATGGATAAAAACTCAAAAAGTGAATGGACTTTCAATAGGAACATAAATCAGTCAGTTTCATTAAAAAATAATAATAATAATAATAATTCTTTATTTATGTTTCGATGATGAACGAAAGCCTTAAGGATTTGGAATGACATAAGTAGTCGAGTAATTGATGAATTATAACTTTTGGGGGAACTGTCCTTTTAACAAACTGAGATCAGCTCTGATATAATCCAGAAGGCTAGTTAACTTAATAATGACTATTGGAGAGTATAGTAAGGCATCACACTGACCTATGTAAGGGGGTCTGATTGGCTCCATCCCTGAGGTTGATGATGTCTTCCACTCTGTTGTAAGAGGAAATCATGATTTTGATGGCATCCAGAGCACCCTGAGTGCAGGCAAAGTGGAGGGCCGTGGATTTGTCACACTGCAAAACAATCAAGCCACACATACACAGACACAAAGATGGAAGTCAGCTATTAGCCTGACATAGGAGAGGCAAGGTATTGCAAGAGGGGGACATTCTCTCAGCTGCTGCACCAATAACACAAACCATTAATGAGAGAGCACCCTGAATTGCTGTGGCAATGGACAGAACGGCCAAGCTCAGTTATAGATGTAAGTGGCTGCAATTTGTATCAATTTAACTATCTGAAGCTATTACTGAATGCATTAACCCTCCTGCTACAGACTGAAGACGACAAATGGAGGAGTGTAAGTGTGTTTGTGTCTGTGTGGTCGAGAACGAGAGTCAGGAAATCAGGCTGCTTTTGTATTCATTGCAAACCACATTCTTCTATGGCTCCATTTCATGAAATTATTATTACATTTTTTTGTATCTCTTTCCGAATAGTGACATTATAGCCAGACATTAGGCATATTTAACAATTTTGTTATTTCTGTCCCCAAACTTCTTACAGGGCATGGTGTGGTTTAATGTATTAAAAAGCTTTTACAGAAATGAGTCTTGATGATAATGGATTCATGATTATATTATGTAATTTTGCAGAATATCTTATTACAGCTGCAGGAGGAGTATGGTAAAATATGTTTATGACAAAATTCTAATTGGTGGATAATACTCAGCAGGGGGTGGTTTCAACCTGCCATGATTTCTGTTTCTAGACCATTCTATTGAAATCCATTTCTGCCACACAAGAAAAAAAACATGCTCTGGTAAATCATAATTATAACATATGCCACATTTAGACTAAAAGACCACAACTCGTGTCATGTGTAGCCTGGTCAACGGATTCACATATTGATCAATACTACAAAATATACAAGTATGTGATCTGAATCACATGAATGATGAATTTGGCTGTTCTGTTTTAAAAAATATATAAATTATGTTATAGGGAAGTGTAGTGTTAAATCGTTTAAATAATGCCTCCTCCATAATCATTTCCCTTTGATCAGTTGGGGTCATGAAGCGGCAATATTTTTTAAACCAGCTGTCCCCGTGTCCCAACCTTCCAATACTGCATGACGTTCGAAGCTTCAAACGTCATCAATCACGTGGTATTGTCATTTCGATACAAGTATCGGTACAGTGTGTGATACAAAAGTGCTTTGAAAACTGCGTCGAAGCATCGGAGCCCCGGTATCAACCATCCCATCACTGCACAAACAACAACCGACAAATACAGAGTGAAGACGAGGAACTTAAATACACCGTGATAATGAGGAGATGATGAACAGGTGTGATGATCTGATGAGTATCCATGACAACTGATGAGTGGCGGGAAAATCAAACAAAGGAACACATGTGATTCATGGACTTTCAGTTTGTTTTCATTCAAGTGAAGCTAAAGATGAAGAAGTCCAGATAACTGTGACACTAAGGGCCAGATCTACTAACAGCTTGCTCCAGAGCAAACCCTCTTTTGGCCTTAAAAACTACTGTCTGGATTTACTAAGGACACACAGGGCAAAATTAGCACTAAAAAGGCGTGGACTGAGTTGTTTTTGTGGCTGAACGTATTGCATATTCATTTGTAGGCTACTGGGAGTTTCCCTTTCAGATGCAAAATTTATGGGAGGCACGCAACACGATTTACTAATGTTTGCACTAGTCAATTTACTGGAATTTGCGCCAATATTTAACACTCCAAAAAAGCATGTCTTAACCCATCTTTCGACATGGCTGCAATTGTTGCTGCTAGGAGGAGACACCACAGAGAACAGAGAGCGCATGGTAGAAGGGAGAAAATATGCCAGAGGAAGACGTTATCCGAACATATCATTTGCCAAGCCATGCTATTTTTAATTTGCTGCAGGAAATAAAAGATGACTTGGAACCTCAACTACAAGGAGTCCCGCAACACCAGGTGCATCACAACTTCTTACAACCCGTAATTGTTTGTCCTCTGGCTCTTTTAGCGGGGATTTCACAGTTCGCATTTTCACCTGCGTTATCCGTGGTCCCAACGCTAATTTGGGCTGCACTTGGTAGATTGTGTTGTTCATTATGTAAATGATTTGACTGCGTCTGTGTTCTTTAATTTGCACAGAATCACACGCAAAACTAGCCACTCCCATCGGCGCATTTGTGGAATTGTGCTCACGCTAATTTGCCCCATTTAGTAAATCTGGCCCTAAGTTCCTAAGAGGGGTTGAAATCAAGAGCCCAATAAAGTAACTTTTTTTGTTTAAAGACAGTTTTGGCATGAGGATGAATGATATGAGGATGATGAGTAAATGATGACAATTTTCAGTTTTGGGGGAACTTTCCATTTAAGACTCTCCAATTAGCGTGTCAAAATTACACAATTTTTATTTCCACAATATCATAGTTAAATGGACTGCCACAGACTCCCTGATAAAAGAAAAATAAACTTTTTCATCACAAGCCTTGGGCCATCGAGTCTGTTGAGTTCTTTGATCGTTTTAGTTTTGCTTGTTAACTTTTATATTATGATATTATATGAAGCAGGTGTGAAATCACTCCAAACTCATTGGCAAAACACAGTCCAGTGACAGATGATGGAGCATCCGTAAGCTATAAAGGACATCCGGACCAAACAACGTCAGCTTACGTATTTTCAGTAAGTGCTCTGTGTCATGTGAGTCTTATTTGGTGTTGTGTGACCCATTATATTATCATTATGGCAAGTAATAAGCAGCAGTTTAAAATGTGTATCCCGGCCCGTACTACATTATAGGAGATGACACACACCTGTGTGTGGTCTCCCTGGGAGATGAGTCCGCTCTCGAGCTTGCAAGCGTCTGCCATTGAGAACTCTCTATTCCCACCTGGCTCTCTTCGAGGAGGGAGGTCAGGCAAACGCACCTGCTCAGATCATGGGGGTTAAAAATGGAATTGACAGAGGAGCTTGAGATGGGTTTTTCCCTTTCTCAGCTCTCACCTTCCGGTTTCAGTGGCTTCATTCCAGACCCTGAAACACCTCTGTGGTTTTTTCCAGGGTGAGTGAGGCCCCATTGTTGGCTTTATCCAGCTCTGAGAAGTTGGATATTGTTAGCATCGAGGCAGTGGAGTTCAAGGATTCGCCATCTCTCTCCCCAGCTTATAAGGAAAGTTTGGAGATTTTGAGTTATGATGTTGCTAAATTGATTCGCCAGCAGAGAAGCAGGAAGTGCATCACGACTAAGTTAGACAAGGCTTTCCTGTCAAGTAATTCCCCACCTCCACGCTGGACCCTATCTTTTCTTTAACCTCTAAAGGATAAGAGAGAGGGACAAAACGTTCATGAGGACGCTCCGTTTCTCTTTCTGGCCTCTTTAGCAATGCAGTTAATACTGTTGTCGAGAGGTTTCAGGAGGCCAAGAAACAGGTGGTGACATTCCAGAATGCATGCCAGGGCTGTTACTAAAGAGCAGCCCCAGCTGAGTAAAAGCTCCTCTAGACGTGAACAACAAAAACAGAGTGTCCCTTCTCGAGCCCCCCTCAGAGAGACTGGGGGTCGAGATGGCTCTCACAGCTGAAGCCTTTCCAGGGGCGGACAGATCTGAAGACCGCCATCCTATAGCAGAAGGCTCGAGGGCAGGCCCCTCTGAGGAGAAGTGACCCACACCAGGGTTAAATGTGCCCATTTCTTCTCTCTGCCCTCGGGAGACCAGTCTGCCAACCCAGCCATCTCCGGTGTTTCGGGCAGAGAAGTTTCAAGTGAACATCTGGCCCGGTCTCCATCTTAGAATGTTGTGGAACTGGGATGCTCACTCCGTCCGAGGAGGGTGTTGGAGAAATATGTTCGGTGGTCCCCTGCCAGCAAGCTGTTTCAGGGCACTGGGCATATTACTCCGTCTACATCAGGGGTCAATCTCGAGAGACTGATATCTCTTTCAGACTATTGGGCAGCATGGCAACTTCTGGGTTTTGCAAATTATAAAAGCAGAGTGTTGCTACTTACTCGTTCACTCTGAGGAGGATATTGGAGAAGTATGTTTGGTCATTCCCTGCCGGCAAGTCATTTCAGGGCATATTATTCAGCCTTTACCAGAGATCAGATGGCGGTTTGGCATCGCAATGTTGCCATCGCTCACATGAGGTGCTTGGGGTTAAGATTAAACCACGAGAAGAATGTGCTTTGTCCCTTAAAGAGAAACACTTTTCTAGGAGTGATATGGGATTCGACTACGATGCAGGCATAGGGTAAGGGTCTGTCTCCTGCTTGTATCAAGTCGATTCTCTCAGCCATATAATAGATCAGGCTAGGCTAGGCTGTCACTGTAAAACGATGTCAGGGACTGTTAGGGCTCATGGCAGTTGTGTCCAACATGATGGGCCTTATAAACATGAGACCATTGCAGTGGTGACTCAAGACCAAGGGGTTTTCCCTGAGAGGGCAAACCATTTCCCATTATTAGGGTTATCATCAGGGTTAAATCAGACTACGTTTCACCAATGAGATTGAAGTGATTTCACACGTGCTTCAGATGCAGGTAATGCAGAAGCATGTCCATAGCTTCAACATTTTGACGTAGCATCTCGTTCCCTTCTCAAAGAACCAGGGTTACAATCCTAACTGAGACATTTTATACCTCTTGAAACAGCAGTTACCTGTTGCTGATCCACTCTGGCTCCTTTAATGATGCAAAGTTTGATCACCTCAATGTTACCCCCACGTACAGCTAGATGGAGGGGGGTGCTTTTGGTCTTATCCAAATAATTAATGTGCACTGAAGTGGAAATGCCAAGCTCTTCTCCTTCATGAGGATGAGAAAGAGAGGAGATGAAATGTTCAGCTTAATTTTTTCATATTTGACAGTTGATACAGATGAAAATACACAGAGGCATTTTAAAAAAATTAAATTGTCATCATTTGCTGACCCTCATGTAATTCCAAACCTCCACTTTCTCCTGTAGAACACAAAGGGTCATTTCTTAAGAATATCTTGGCCATTTTTTTCAATATAATGACGTGAATGGGGTCTAGAGCTCCACAATGACAAAGCACCATAATGTTATTATAAAAGGGTTTCATCTAACTCATGCTCTATATTTCAAGACTTCTGGAGACATACAATAGCTAAAATGAGGAATATAGTGCATGAAGAGAACAGGCCCCTTTTTATGGTGCTTTAGCATCTTTTTGAAGCGCCAGTCCCCTTTTTTGCATGTTTTTTTTTTTTATGCAACAGTCACCATTAATTGTAAATACATGGAAAAAGAATGGCCAGTGGTCTACATTATTTACATTAATTAATTAATCTACATTAATCTTTACAGGATAAACAAAAAGTAATACAGGTTTGGAATGACATGAGGGTGAGTAAAGGATGACTGAATTTTTTTCTTTTTTTTCTTTGAACTATCCCTGATATCACAAACCTCAATCACATTGAAAGCATGACTGCTTTGTTTGGTTACCATGTGACATGCTGGCAACTAAATCTCATAGCACTGAAGGTTGCAGTCACTTTTGACTTGTTCACCCTCTATCTGTTTTAACTGTTTTGCATTTCAGCATCTGAAAATATTGGACCGAAATGAAAACTGTGTCATAGCCACAGGGAACTGTCGGAAAAAGAAAAAGAAATATTTACAGTGTGTCTTGAACACATCATTCCGGAACAGAAGACCACCCATGCATTGTGCTAAATCACAGTGCCTGTCTAAACAGCTTGGTGAATAGGTTGGGAGTGGATTCGTCATGGTGAATTGGTGCAACGAGAATATTAAACTTGCTTACCAATTTTCAAAACCAGCTCCATGGCCTCTTTGGCACCTGCAAAAGCAACTGTATGGATGGCATAGTGACCCAGTTTGTTCTGAAGACACATCTTGGCGCCACGTTTGAACTGTAAGGAAAGAAAAAAAACACTTTTATTACACAATGTGATATTCTAGATTCTGTCTGTCACACTTGACTTTTAATGCCCTTTGTACTCACAAGAGAACGGAGAGCTTGGCAATTATTATTGCTGCAGGCCAGCATCACTGGGGTGTTTCCCAGATCCCCTTCCAGATTGACATCTGTTCTGTCACAGGACAGAAGGACCTATGCCAGACATGAGCAAAGTTATCATAATTATCTGCAAGGCACTCAAGTATAATTCCTTCAACATTTCAGCCCAACAGGAAGCAGACAGAAGACACCTTTATCTTTCCCACTGAGCTGTCCCTATGCTATCAAATTAATATCTCACAAGCCAGAAAATCAGTATGACTGTGATTCAACATTACGCATGAGGACACAGGTAATTACAGTGTGATATTGCTTCTGTACTTTGACTCTGACATTGCTACAGTTCAATAAACAAGAAGTTAATACTTAGTAACTTACATTTTAGACAATCTTGCTTTATTTTTACTTCAACCATTGTTATTTTAGAATTATTTAAATACTATGGTATTTATACAGTAAAACGACTAACTTGAAAGTCTTGCACATGTAATATCTAATTTACACCTTGAAAAATAACCAGAAGTTACAGAATACACCGCTCAATCAAATTCAACGAAAGTCGAAAAGTTTGGTAAAATTATTTTTTTATGTTTTTGAAAGAAGTTCGAACTGAAATTTGAAAATAACTGTTCCACGAAAATATTAAGAAGCATTATTTTTAATGATGAAAACATTTTTAAAAATTTAGCCCAGACGTTGAGACTTGAGCTCGCTGGAAAACACTGCACCCCAAAGCACACAAGGTGGCGGGGTTGGCAGAATGGTCCTCTGAGGGCACCAAGGGGAGATGGACACTGTATATAATGAGGTATAATCCATTTCCCCTTGGAGGGGTCTGCCAGTGGTGTCGGTCGGTCCTCATATCCATTTTAGCCATTGAAGGCTCCTTAACCATACTCCTTCAGACCTAAGATGTTAGAATAATTAGATGTTTGGGATGAATGAAGACTTGGTAGGAAACCGGTTTCTTCCACATCGGTATATGTGGAGATCAGGAAAAAACTGTAGGCCCTGACGAAGAGGTTGTGAAACGTTGGTGTAATTTACTTTTATGGCGAACTTCCTGTTTCTCGGCCGGCCAGTCGATGTTCAGTCTGGCCACGGCACGAGTCACAACCTCCAACAGCTCCTCATTTACAGGAGTATGAGGTGGTGATTCCTCAACATCTCACAACATCCAACATCTCAGAGCTGGAAAGTTGCAGTTCCGGTGCTTTACTCGGGCCTGAAGAAACCTCTGAGCGTGCTTCCAAAGCCTGAGATAAAGCACTGAATCCGGCAGGTCTCTAGGTGTCTCTGGTCATGGCGTTACCCGCCTATGGCGTTCCATCATTAGACTGATTTTACACGTGCTTCCATTACAATTAGGCAGGGGCGTTCCCACAGCGTCTTCAAAGGGAAATTCAGCTTTGCCATCACAGGTATAAATTATATTTTAAAATAGAAAACAGTTGGTTACACTTTATTTTAAGGTGTCCCTGTTACAGTGTAACTATACATTTAAGTACTAATTAATTAATTAATTAATTAATTAATTAATTAATAGCATGTACTTACTATATAATAAGGGGTAGGTTTGCGTTTAGGGTTAGTTGCATGTAATTATGCATAATTTAATATTCTTACTTCAGTTAGTACAGTACATGTAACAAGGACACAAAGTGTTACCAGTGTTCTTTAAAATTCTAATATTTCAGAATATTACTGTTTTTACTGTATATTTTGATCAAATAATTGCAGCCTTGCTAAGCATAAGAGACTATCAAAAAAAAAAATCCAAACTTTTTTAATAAATTAAAATATTTGATACAGTCTGATGCACATAATGACAAAATATTCAAGAGAATGCATATCTACAGCTGCTCTTTACCCTGACAGTAACCCAAACAGATTACCAGCAGCATGTGTGTGACTGACCTCTACCAGATGATTGTATCTTTTAGTGACAGCCAAATGCAGAGGGCCCATCAGGGCACTGTTGAGGATGTTGGGGTCAGCACCCAGGTCTAACAGTAATTCACAGCTCTGCTGTTGATCCTTCTCCACAGCCCAGTGCAGAGGAGTTCTGCCCTGCTCATCCTGTACATTCAGCTCTACAAAGCAAAAAACTCAATATATGCAATGGTTGTGACGTTCAGGACAGTAGGACATTCAGTAAGCGTTCAGAGGTAAGCTATGTGTCATAGTGATGAGTCAAAATACCTTATTTGGAAAGGCACGAATAATGACTTCTACCAAATAATAGAATTTTTTTAAATTATTGATTAATATGGTGATGTGAAGGGCTGAAGACAATAAATTGAGAACTCATGAACAAAAATGTGCATGTGTATTTCAAGTTTAAATAGGATAGCCACTTTGTCTCTCCTTTTATTGTATGCATCTCAGAAATCTAAACTTGTAAAGACTAACATTGAAACTATATCGTACATATTTTCTACATTCTTAATGGTCTAAATAAATGTTTTAACCTTTTCTAGCGAGACTGGATAAAGGTGAGGGAGAGTGCACTCCAAAGTGAACTACTAACACTTTACTAAGTATAAGGTTAGAATTTAGTCAGGGGTTAGTATTTCTTTTAGCATTGTGGGGACACGACCAGAGCAAAAGGCAGGAGACACTGCTTGCAGTCAAGTCAAAATTGTATTGACTTCAGAAAAATAACAACAAATCAAAAATAACAGGTGACCCTCCTCACGGAGGTCCCTCACCAGAACTGACTCGAACAGACAAAATAAATTGTATACTGAAAGGTTCAACCATTTCATGATAATAGGGAATTGAAATAATATGTACACATAATACATATATAAACTTAAATTAAAATAATATTCAAAATACATTAACATCAATTTTAAAAGGAAAGAAATACAAATAAAAAACAATACATTTCTACATGCTATCAAAATAAACAATAACACAATGAAACAATGACCCCCTTGCTCAATGTAAGAAATGGACTATGCCTACACTACCCAGAATTCCTTGGGATGGCATACAATGAGGAACAGGAAGGCTGCACTTCCTCTTAACCCCCACTCCCCGGAAACCATACTGCAGCCATAAGTTTTGAAAATGGGGATATAAACTAATATAGTTTATGTAAATTCTAAATAAAGAAAATAAAGAAATAAAACTCTTGGTGTCTTTTGTATCTGTCTAATGTACACCTTAGACTAGAAAAAGTTACCAAATTCATTTAACCAAACAATAAGAAACAAACATTTATGCAAAAAATATAAACCAAACAAACACAGGGCATACACCGCATCCAGGGGTAACTTATGACATCGTCACATCTTCCCCTCATCCCTCTCGCAAGGTAAGCGAGAAAGAAAGTCTGTGGTCACGTTTTCTGACCCTGGCCGATCTCTTACAATGAAATGGAAAGGTTGCATATAGCCAAACTTCAACGAGTTACACGAGTATTGGTATCTTTCATTTTGTCAATCCATTGAAGTGCTCTATGATCCGTTTGAACAACAAAATCTCGTCCCAACAGGTAGTATTTAAAAGAATCAAGAGCCCATTTCAGTGCCAAACACTCTTTTTCAATGACAGGTATCTTGTCTCCCGAGGATACAGTTTTCTACTCAATTAAGCCACAGGATGTAACTCACCTCCCTGCTCTTGTTTCAAGACCGCTCCCAATCCCACTTCAGAGGCATCTATCTGAAGCACAAACATTTTCTCAAAATCAGGACTACACAGGACAGGATTTGTCACCAATCCTTCCTTCAAATCTTGGAAAGCTAAACTGGACTGTTCGGTCCACTGAATTTGAATTAGGCCCGACTTCTGTGTCAAATATGTTAGTAGCGCTGCCCTAGTGGCAAAGTGAGGTATAAACCTCCGATACCACCCCTCTAGACCTAAAAAAGATCTGACCTGCTTTTTTGTACTTGGAAGTGGGCAGGTCTGATTAGCGTGTATCTTCTGGATCTGGGGTTTAATAACACCATTACCTAATATATAGCCCAAATACTCAGTCTCACTTTTGGCTATAGAACACTTGGCAGGATCAAGTCAAGCTTTCGTGTAAAAGCATAATTAGAATGGAAAAGCCAATTTTAAAATTTTAAGAACGCCTTATTTTCGTTTTAGGTCAAATTGCCTTTCGAATGGGAGTGCATGAGTGCATGGGGCTCTTCTATGATAGAATCAAAATCGCTATTTTTAAAACACTAAGGAGGCTCGACACAACATAAAACTGTGCTCGAAGTATCACCGGGGGCTCTACACATGAACTTGAGCATTGACTTCATTGTGTACACAGTTTACTAAAAAGAAGTTTGACCCGGGTAGATTAACAAAAAGAGCCTAGGTTAAATTTTGGCAAGAATTTCGCCTTTAAGTAGCGAAAATCAATACAGAAACGCAAACTTCCGTCATTTTCGGTACTAACACAACAGGGTTACACCATTCACTTTGAGAAGGCTCCACAATGCCCATTTCCTGCATTAACCTAACCTCCTCAGTAAATGCTGACACAATCTTTTCTGGAATACGATAACTCATTCTTTTCACTTGAGCATTAGGTTTCAACATAATTGATGCCGAATGAGAGGGGTACAACCAGGGGTACTCTTAAACAGTTCTGGATCACATAACTCTTGAATTTGTCATTTCTGCTCCCCTGATAAGTGCTCAAGATTAACTGATTAACTGAGGAGGTTTCCTGATTCACCGATATATACTGCTCTTCTACCTCCTCTTCTTCCACCAACCGAATCAAATTTGCACTTGCAGACTCTTTCTGTGGAAACCATTCCTTCAAGAGATTAATATGCAATGTTCTATGAGAACGTGACCAACTATGAGTGGCAAATTCATAAGTTGTAGGTCCTAACTTGTTAGTAACTTTGAACGGACCCTGCCATTTACCCAACAACTTATCTTCTGTTGGAAGCATGACTAAAACCTGCTGACCTACATCAAAGAACCGCTGCCTTGTCTTCCTATCATACCAACCTTTCTGCCTACGATGTGCTTCTTGTAAGTTTTCCACTGCTGACTTTTTTCCAGTTTTTTCTCCAGTTTCTCTCTCATTTGCAACACATAATCAATGACATTCAGCTTACTAGATATCTGTGAACTTTGTTCCCAGGTATCTTTCAGCAAAGACAGAGGACCCCGCACATCATACATCAACTGAAAGGGAGAGAAGCCTGTAGAAGCCTGTGGAACTTCTCTGTACGCAAATAATAAGTACTGTAACCACTGGTGCCAATCAGACCCGGTGTCACTTACAAATTTACGGAGCATTTGAACAAGGGTTTGATTGAATCTTTCTACAAGACCATCGGTTTTGGGATGGTAAGGTGTGGTCTTCAAACCTCTTATACCCAACAATTGATAAACCTGTTGCAGTAGCTTTGAAGTGAAATTGGTTCCTCTGTCAGTCAGTATCTCCTGGAGAAAACCCACTCTAGAAAAAAAACTGCACCAAACAAAAGGCTACAGATTTGGCCTTATTGTTCTTCAAAGGGAAAACTTCAGGATATCAACTTGCATAGTCACAAATTACCAGCATATTTTTGTTACCTGCTTTACTCCTCTCTAACGGGCCCACAATATCCATGCCTAGACGTTGGAAAGGAATCTCTATTACATGCAAAGGCATCAAAGGAGCTTTTGGAGGACCCCGAGGGGCAGTACATTGGCATTCTGGACACGTCTTGCAAAACTCAGCTATATCTTTGGTCATCCCTGACCAGAAAAAGTGTTTACTGATTCGATACATTTTACGACACAGCCCAGGGGATAGAATGCCCCATTTTTAACACAATCTTGCGTACACTTATGGGAAGAACCATTTGTTGCCAGTTTCGGGTCTTACAATACAGAAGTTCATTCTCTAAACAAAAAGTAGAACCATTGAAGACCATCTCTCTGCCTTGCTTTGCATGTTTATCATTCTAGAATAGATGGGACCAATTTCAGAATCGGTTTCCTGCAGTTCAGACATATTGGCAGGGATCTGCCACTCCAAATTTAATTTTGGTGAACCTTCCCTTGCTGTGACTTGCACCACAGTTCCTTGAAACTAGTCTAACCTCTTCTCTGCTTTAAACTTCACAGGTTTCACTGGATGGGTTGAAATATCACAATCATAAAAAGGAAGGCATTTCAAGGAGTTTGTCTCATTCCCCTCTTGGCTCTGTCGAGACTTTGCACAAATTAACACCACATTACAGGTACTACTTGGCTGCAATAAGTCCATTAACACAGGACTATCATGACCAATGATCACAGGATATGGCAGTTTTGGCGCTAGCCCCACTTTCATTAGGTAGGATTGCTCATCACCCTTACTCTTCAGTGGTCGGATAAGACCGTTCTTCTCCATGGATACATTTAACCATAACAGGGCACACTAGAACATTCAGAAACAAGATACATTTCTACCAAAGTTTGGGTGCATCCTGTGTCTACCAAAGCTATAACCTTTTTCCATTCAGTTCTACAGGAATTGTGACATCACTGGGCATTGGAGTAATGCTAGGTTCAGGTATCATAATCCGTGGAACATAACAGATATTGGTAAGCTTTTTATTTAGGTTTGGACACATTGGTTTCTTATGGCCTATCTGGCCACAACTAAAACACTTAATAGGTCCCAACTATAGTTAAGCTAGATGTTTCTGTTTGTTTCACCAGTCTCTGACCCATACTCTTACCCCCTTCTAGCAGTGAGGTTGTCTTGCGAGAGGAAGTCTTGTCCCTTGCTGTCTTCCAATGAGCAAAACTCCAAGGCTCAGTCCTTTGCCTAGCTGCCACAAAGACATCCACCAGCTTGGCGGCCTCCTCGGCAGAAGATGGATCATGCTCCTTAATCCAGGTTTGTAGTTCAGGACACAACATTCTCAAAAACTGTTCCAAGATGACGGTCTCTGCAAACTGCTGCATTGTCTTTTCTGCAGGTTTCACCCACTTATAGAGTAAATCCTTCAACCGAACATACAATTCCTTAGTTCCTTAGGAGTTTCCTCCATCAGAACCTCCATGGAACGAAACCGCTGTCGATAGGTCTCAGCATTGATAGAATATTTCTTCAGTATTGCCTCTCTCACCTCCCCATAGTCGCTGTCTTCGTCCACATCCATAGCCACATAGGCAGCACGGGCCTTGCCAGTGAGTAGAGGTACTAGTCGAATGGCCCAATCCTCTGGAGGCCATCTGCACACGGTAGCAATTCGCTCAAAGGTAGTCAGATAATGCTATATGTCATCCATCTCACTGAGCTGCTGCATCTTTGGCTCTTTTAATGGACCCCCAGCAGTTGAATGTCGAACTCCATCAGAATTTCTGGAAGAAGTGTCTGGGCCCTCACTCTCACCAAGCGGTGGATTTCTCATCGAGGTATGATGAGTCACTTCTCTCAAAATTGATGTTGCAAGGACCTCAATCTTGTTTCTTGTCGTGCATTTTCTTGTTCTTGACGAACTTGTCTTTCTTGTTGATTCACCAGGAACTTCTGGAACATATCCTTGAGCTCACCAATGTCCTTAGAAGAACTCTCAGAGAGAATAAGCTCAACAGCACCTCCACTAGCCCCATCGTTTGCCCCATCTTCTCCAGGGTCCACTTGCGCTAGTGTCTCCATACGTGCTGCCCGTTTTGGTGCCATCACACCCAAAGATTTCACACAGCAATGCTCCTCTTCTGGATTATCGCACCGCTGCCACCATAATGTGGGGACGTGACCAGAGCAAAGGCAGGAGACACTGCTTGCAGTCAATTAAAATTTGCATTGACTTCAGAAAAAGAATAACAAATCAAAAATAACATAAACAAAGACACTAAGGGTGGCCCTCCTCACGGAGGTCCCTCACCAGAACTGACTCGAACCGACAAAATAAATTATTTTATACTGAAAGGTTCAACCATTTCATGATAATAGGGAATTGAAATAATATGTACACATACATAATACATATATAAACTTAAATTAAAATAATATTCAAAATACATTAACATCAATTTTACGAGGAAAGAAATACAAATAAAAAACAATAAATTTCTACATACTATCAAAATAAACACAATAACAAAATGAAACAATGAAACAATGACCCCCTTGCTCACACTAGGAAATGGACTATGCCAACACTACCCAGAACTCCTTGGGATGGCATAAAATGAGGAACAGTATAGGCTGCACTTCCTCTTAAACCCCCACCCCCCGAAAACCATACTGCAGCCATAAACCCAGAAGGTAAGTTTTGAAAATGGGGATATAAACTAATATAGTTGATGTAAATTCCATATAAAGAAAATAAAGAAATAAAACTCTTGGTGTTTTTTGTCATCTGTCTAATGTGCACCTTAGACTAGAGAAAGTTACCAAACTCATATATAACCAAACAATGAGAAACAAACATTTATGAAAAAAATATAAACCATACAATCACAGGGCATACACTGTAACCAGGGGTAACTTATGACATCATCACAAGCATTGTGTAGGCAATCAGCACTGTGGTTGAAATTACCAATGTAATCTTTAGAATTGGCTGCAGGGGGAGTTTGGGACTGGTTTGAGAAAAAATCATTACTATTTAGCTGGTTGGTCAGTTGATCTCCTAGCCAGCTAACAAGTGTCTAAAACCCATCTAAAATCAGACCAGATATATTAGGCTAGGAGAGCAGCTAACCAGCCCAAGGTGGTTAGCTGCTCTCCTAGCCTAATATATCTGGTCTGGTTTTAGATGTTTGTTTATTTCGGCAGGATATTGCAGTGTAATAGATGTAATTAAGAAGAGAAATGTGCAATCTGAATATCATTTGGTCTTTTGCCATTGTAGTGAGTGAACCGGTGGCTCTGTTTTGTCAATGATTTATTGAAGTAGTGTTCACAATAAGCAGCCCAGTGACGTAAGTGTGTGATCCCTGAGGAGATTATGTGATAGTTTTATAATCATTAGAACATAATGACACATTGACCTGATGTGATCTGAATAGCAAAAGACTGGGGTGAATAAACAAGGCCTGGACAAGGCCTTCAAAACACACACATATATATATATATATATATATATATATATACACAATGCAATTAGTGCAAAGCTAGACTCAAGTGTAATTTCTCAAAATATGTTGTTTAAGAAGGTTAAAATGTAATTTTATGTAGATTATGAAGATAACGATTTGCTGCCTCAAGAGTCGGATCCAGTGTCTTAATTCCTAGAACTGGATCCTAAAGTTATTTCCTTCCTTTTTGCTGTAGATTGATTTAAAAGTAGTCTTATGATCTTCTACAAAACGTAAGTTATATTTCTGGGTTGTCAAATTTAATTTAATATGAAAATGTCACAGATTTTGCAGTTTGCTGGGCTTATCTGTTTGTCCAACCAACAGCAGGTGAGGAGAGAGCAGCTAATAGTGTAGAAATTACTCACTCAAGTCAGAATGAAATAGAAATTCTATTTGAGTCTGTAGGCCAACCTGGCTCTCTCAATAAAAAAAAACAATAGGATTTTCCTATTGACTTTTGTATTATTGCAAATAAAAAGCTCTGTGACCAACAAAAGTTTATGATTCGTACTTGTTTTGTTCATCAGGATAATCTTCAAAAATAAACAAATTTTTTATGAATTTTGAAGCCTAAATACAATTGCCAGAATTAAAAAATCTAAATGTAGGCTATAAACGAACTGCACAAACAGCTGGCACAAAGGTTGCATGACTTTAATACATGACTTTTAACGAAAAAACCCATTTGAAAAATCCATTGACTTCAGGACAATGGAACAGGAAATGCTAAAATGTTAACTTGTTTCAATGTTTTGGCCTACAAAAAAACATCATCCTTGCAACACTCTATTGTAAAAATGTATTTATGCATGTTTTAAACGTTTTATTTTTCCAGTGAAACAACAGACTTCTCTCTGGTGATGTAGTCCAGTTAAACTCCGCCCCATCTTACAATCGACTGCAAGTTCGCATTCAAATCTGCCTCCATCCAATCAACAACTAATGTCAAATTCAATTTAATATGAAAATGTCACCGAATTTTGCAGTTTGCTGGGCTTATCTGTTTGTCCAACCAATAGCAGATGAGGAGAGAGCAGCTAATAGTGTAGAAATTACTCAATCAAGTCAGAATGAAGTTAATAAGTTTGTCTTATCTACAATAAGTTACAATAAGATATTGTAAGTTTGTCCAAGTCCTACTTTAGTTTCTTTTTTGTGCATCACAATATGGAAGTAATGACCTGTCACTAATTCCATTACATTGTGGCTTTAAAACCATGTCAAGGATTAAGTTTTACCCTCAGGACCCACAGTAGAAACAATGAGTCGAATTATGTCCAGGTTTCCTCCGGCTGAGGCATAGTGCAGTAGGCTAGCTCCATTCTCATCTCTGAAGCTTAGGCGTTCTGGAATTTTCTGGATCAGGTGGTCGATAGCAGACGCCTTCCCTTTGAAAGCCAACTGGCAGAGGAACAGATTATAAAAGTATCTTGCCAAGGAAAGGTGAAACACAACACAAGTCAGTTTCAGTTACCTGGTATTTTTTCTGGTTGCTATTACTGGATAGAGAAGCAAACATATACAGTACACGCATGCTGATGGCATCATCTTTTGTAAATATTTGTGCTCCCCTCCGCCCTCAGCTCTCTAAAACACATATGTAGGAGAAACAACACGCACCTCAAACACATCCGCAGAATCCAGGTCTGTTTCCCCTTCATTTATCACACATTTGTAGAAGCTGTTTTGCCTCACAAACTCCTTTCCAAACTGCATTTGGTGAGCTTAGTGGGGATCTTCTGTAAAGACAATCCAATCGGTGATATTAATAATAACCTCAGAATGGCATTAATTGTGTTTTCTTTTAGTGGCTTCTTTTGTGCGCTGAGGTCCAAGGTTAAACTGAGAGCAGGTGATTGGAGTTTATTCTCACATCATTGAACTTGAATATCCACAAAAACTGGCATAACTATTGATTTATTCAATCAAAGACAAACATTGATTGTTTAGTAAAAGATTGTGAAAGAGAACTGAACATAATTTCAACCATTTGACCCAAGTATGACAGAATGTGTTTGTTGCAGGGTTGAACTACAGTCGAGCAACCCATTTGAAAATGTTGTTGTTCCTATATTACAAGCTACACTGACCTACATCTATTTTTGGCTTTTAGTCCATGTGTGTTACCTTTGAGGTAATCTTCACTAAAGTTGGTCTGTAAGATTTGTCTGTAAGGAGTGTCACGTGAATGATGCGCACAAGAGTATAATGACAGACTTTAATAACACTCTTTAACAACCACAGGAGAAAACACAAGAATAAATGTACACTACCACAGACGACACGGAAAAAAATAACTGAATGAACCGAGGTCTAATATACACATAGAGATAACGTAGCAAGGAACACCTGCATAACTCAATCAGCGACTACAGAGACAAACTAGCAAAGGAAACACTGGCAAACAGGAACTGAACATAAGGAACACAAAACCAAAAACAATTAGTCTCTTATGCTCACATTCATCATTTATTTGATTAAAAATACCATTAACACAGTAATATTGTGAAAATATTATTACAATTTAAACCAATTTATTCTTGCCCAATTAAATGCATCATTGCTTAATTGATATTAACTTATTCTTAAACTTTATAAAATATTATACTACAGGGCTGTTGAATGCTTGATTCTGATTGGTTGAGAATGTTCTAAGGTGTGCAATTATTTTCAGGGAAACGCACGGCTAAAGTAGTTCCAGGCAGGCTTGACCGCATTACAGTTCCATATCACTGCGCGTAGTTAACCGTAATAACGGAAAATAGGATACAATTCATAACAAGAAAAAAACATGCAGCCCCATGCGCTTGATCTGCAATTTTCGATGTCTAACTTCACAATCAATGGACACATACAGTTTAATTTTAATAAATAAAGTATGTAGTCCTATACCTATAGGCTAAATAGAAAATTAAATTGAATATAGGCTATATAAATAAATTGATAGTCCTGCTGGGTTTTCGTAATTATTCCAGATAATATAACAAATAAATAATTATTGATAGGCCTACTTGTTAAAAGGGCTTTGTGTGTTTCATTTATTGGGTTATCTACTGTCAATTATAGAAAACAAGAATGAACGAATTAAAACAAATTTAATTAATAAATAAATAATAATATTGACACACATGCTTTTCTTTCTCATTATTGCAACATCTCTCTCTCTCTCTCTCTCTAATAACGGCATTAATAACTGCATAAAGCCGGGACACACTGACTTAGGCCAGTTATGAATGTAATTTGATACTTATGACTGATCATGCCCAAACGCGTGTTCAGCGCGTTCAGTCTGTAACTTAGCTTCACAGTCTGTGTTGCTACAGTTGATGGAAACAGTCAGTCTTCGAATGTTTCAGCAAGTCGTAAGTGTGTCCCCATCATTAGTCTGCTATCAGTGGCTCAAACCTCCGTTACTAACTCTAAAATGATGTTTTGGAATTAGCAACGGAGGCATGGGATTAGATGCGTAAGAAATTAGTCCTACATACAAGAGCGTTTTAATGACAAAAACTTGACAAACGTCTTGAAATGCATCATCTGAACAATGTTTCGAGGTGTGGTAACTGTAGTATAAGCGGAATAATTGACTTCAGGCCGTTGAATTATTAGAAAAATAATGCACACCCGAGGTGTAACGGCCACTCCGCTTCGCGTCGTGACCGCATTACCACCTCGGGTGTGCATTATTTTTCGAATAATTCAACGGCCTGTCGTCAATTATTCCTTACATTACTGACTGCGAACCTTTGAATTTTGTACATAGATAGTATAATTTATTTTTGTTATCAGGGCAGCATTTATCTAAACCAAAACATAAACAGACAAAAACAGATAAAATCACAATAAATTTAAACCAGAAAATAACCAACTTTATACACATCAAAAACACACATCTTTTGGTTTTTAGTCCATGTGTGTTAGCTTTGAGGTCATCTATATGCTTACATACTGCTAAACCTTGACAAAATTAATTTTTAGCAGATTTATGCATGTAAAATGTAGTATTTTTCCTTTCAGACCGAAACTATTGATGACTCATGCTGCACTGACTCATTTTGTCTAATCAAATTCTCTTTATAAGGTGGTCCCTCCTTCAAATACCACTTCTGAATAGTACGTTGCAAGTCATGGCTTGTGGCCGTGATGTAACAAGGCTTTTGGCTGTGTCCGAAATCTCCCACTACTCACTATATAGTGGACTATATAGTGAGCTCGCCATTTTGTAGTGCTGTCCGAATGTATAGTGATGATTATTATACCCTATATAGTCCACTCAATGTATCCCAGAATGCATTTTGAAAAGTAGTGTACAACTGATGGTCACTAACCCAAGCCCTACATAGCATCATGCATTGCGCTGATCGTATCTATCAGCATCATCTTCATCTTTAACTTACAATTTGACGACATCTCGCTAGCGTAGCAAGAACAGCACGTCGTTTTCTGTGTCTAGAAATCGTCTCGGTTACGTATATAACCCTAGTTCCCTGATAGGGAACGAGACGCTGCGTCAAACGCTGTGGGAACGCCCCTGCGTTGTGCGTCATGAAGCACGTATGGAATCAGCCCAATGGAGAGACGGAACGTCATAGGCGGGTGACGTCATCGACCAGGAAACTATAAAGCACCCCAAAAAACACAAGCGCATCAGCTTCTGATAGGCCTGAAGGAGCGCTTAACGGGAATGCCGGAGTATAGCAGAACGACGCAGCGTCTCGTTCCCTATCAGGGAACTAGGGTTACATACGTAACCGAGACGTTCCCTTTCAAGGGAACTTCGAGCTGCGTCAAACGCTGTGGGAACGCGAATACCCACGTCGCCATAGGAGCAAGTGACCGTCATGTGAGATCTAGCGCACAGCGGACGAGAGCACCTGCACGGTGAAGACCATCCGGTCGCATCACAAACCTCACTCAGGGAAACTCCTGACAATAAAGCTTTGGATGCAGCCATACTCCTAGTAGAGCGGGCTCGTACAGCCAAAGGTGAAGGCTGACCAGCCGACTCATAAGCAAGTGAGATAGCCTCGACCACACTTGCTCATTCTCTATTTAGACGCAGGACACCCTTTCCTGGGTGGCCCGAAACATACAAATAAATGTTCTGATTTCCTCTACAGGGCAGCTCTGTGGACATAAGCGTCTAACACCCTCACTGGGCAGAGCAAATTAAGTTTCTCCTGGTCTGACGACAGAAATGGAGGAGGACAGAAAGCCTGCAGAACTGTAGGTCTAACAACATTAGTAGGGACCTTAGGAACACAACCTGGCCTAGGGTATAGAAAAGCCTTAACCATACCAGGCGAAAATTCCAGGCACGAACTGCTGGCCTCAGCCTCAAAGTGCCACGAAGGAAACGAGTTATAAGCGGGTGTCTCCCAAGAGAAACTCCACTGAAAGGGACGTGGTAAGCAGCCAGTGCCGCCACATACACCTTTAGTGTGGAGGGGGATAACCCTGTGGAGAAACGCTCCTGCAGGAATTCCAGCACTGCACCCACTGGGCAGTTAACTGGGTCCTACAGGTGTTCTCCATACCAAGAAGTGAAAAGTTTTCACTTCAAAGGCATTTAGCTTCCTGTGGATGGAGCTCTGGAGTGAAGGATGGTCTCAACAACCTCGGTTGAGAGACCGGAATCTAAGAGCTGGGCCCCCTCAGAGGCCAAGCCCACAGTTTCCATAACTCTGGGCGGGGGTGAAATATTAAGCCGCCCGCCTGAGAGAGTAGATCCCTCCTGACCGGGAGCTCCAAAGGAGAGCCGTCCAGGAGAGAAACCAGGTCCGCAAACCATACTCGGGCCGGCCAGAACGGGGCTACTAATAGTAGACTGACCCCGTCCCGGCTATCCCTCTCCAGAACTCCTGGTAGCAGAGCAATCGGGGGAAAAGCGTACAGACGTGACCTCGGCCACGGCTGCACCATAGCGTCCAACCCCAGAGGGGCTGGATGACTGATGGAGAACCACAGACGACAGTGCGATATCTCCTTGGAAGCGAATAGGTCCGCCTCGGCGCGACCGAAACTCAACCAAAGGAGCTCCACCACCTCAGGGGGTGGAGTCTCCATTCCCCCGGCCTCGGCCCCTGCCTCGACAGAGAGTCCGCTACCACATTCAAATACCCAGGAAGATACATTGCTCTCAGTGATAGTAACTTCCCTAGGGACCACAGGAGGACCTGACGGGCCAACTTGTAAAGCCGGCGAGACCGCAGGCCCCCCTGACGATTTATATAAGAGACCACCGACGTGTTGTCTGACTGAACTAGCACATGAGGACCTCTCAGGTCTGCTAGGAAGTGTTTCAGAGCCTGAAACACTGCCAACATCTCTAGACAATTTATATGCCATGATAGATGATGGTCCTGCCACAGACCTTGGGCTGGACGACCACTCATGACCGCCCCCCACCATGTGAGGGAAGCATCCGTCGTTAGCTTTACGCGACGACAAAGAGCCCCCAGCACAGGATCTTTGGATAGGAACCAAGTTTCTTTCCACAAGACCAGAGCACGAAGGCAGCGCCGCGTGACTTTGATCGTGCGGAGTGGATTTCCCCTCGGGGAGAATCCCTTGGTCCTGAGCCACCACCGCAGCGGTCTCATGTACAACAGGCCAAGGTATAACGTTGGACACTGCTGCCATCAAACCCAACAGTTTCTGAAACTGCTTTACAGTGAGTAGCTGGCCTAGCTTTACTGTTTCAAGGCTGAAGAATCGAAGCAATGCGGGTGACCTAATC